GCAATTTATCAAAATATCACATTATTACAGCAGAGACATGATGGCTTTTGGTGAAATTTTCTCTTTTATGATTTGAAGAACTTTTTGAGTTTTATGTATATTTTTGCAAACAGATTTACATTTCCAGAGCTTATCTTTGAAACCAGTACGGATTTGATACTCAAACTGACACATAAAACCATCCCATTGACAAGGATGTCTTTTGCTGTTTGAAGTCTCCAAAATTAGTCATTTTTGGAGTTTTCTTTAAAAACAAGCTCATAATTACCAGAACTTGATGTCTGATTAACAGGTGACATTGACAACTATTTCTCTCATATCCGGTCATGTAAGATAACGCTGGCCATGTAAGATAACCATGCTTGCTGAGTCTATCTTACATGGGCGTCACGTCACAATGTATCAATAATGACGTGGCGTCATGAATTCGCTTAAATTAAAACCTTTTTACAATATATTTACGGTACACTTAAGAAAGATGAGATTATATTTTCTGCGCAAACTTTGTTTGCAAATATGGGTTATGCTTAATCTTGCTGACAAATTCGTTTTCGTCAAAAAAGCTCAGGGGAAAAATTTATATTTAAAAAATGGTAGCCAGTCCAAACGCATATTCATGGTTTCTGAGCTTATTAACCCTGGTAGTTGGAATGAGAGAAAAATACTCTTTTATGCTCAGTGGTGTAGGAAAGGGAAATTCCACCCTCAGGATTTTCAAATTTGGCAAAACCCTCGGCAAAGTCTCGGGATTTTATCAAATTTGAAAAACCCTCAGGTGAACTTTCCCTATCCTACACCCCTGAGCATAAAAGAAACTTATAGTCTTCTATAATGGTCTCTGACATACATGTATACCAAGGTATATATATCTATGGTATAGGCTACATATACACTGTATACCTACATAATAGATGTTTATGGTTCCTAAGTACAAGGTTTATTGTTGTTGTTTGTTTGTAGAGGTTTTGTGTATACAAGTATACAAAATCTTCTTGCATCAGTTAGATAAAACAGGCTACGTACTGTAAAATAACTAGAATACATCGCCACCCAAACCGTCTCTCTGTAATATAAGTATGTCCTTTGAAACACCAATATATCAAACAGCAATACCTTTATATATTTTAAATTAGCCCATCTATCAATGTTCAGTTTTATTTATAAATTAGATCTGTGTACTTCAGAATATTTCAAGATTTATTCACTTTAATATTAAAGTACATTTCAAGTCCAGTTATTTTTTAAATTAAATTATCCTCTGTAGATAGATGATAGTGTTATAACAAGGGGTGTGTGATTTAAAGGCGTCAGAATGATACGTGTGCCAGTGTATAGCGTACGATGGATTACCGCCCGCCAATCAGTTTACTATACACAACGACAACAAGAACTTTTATGCAATTCCATCGTTAAGCATATTTGTTATCTAGAATTCTTTTGACCCACTTGAAATTAATGGAGCAGTAACATATTTAGGTACGTTAAGACAATCTCAGTTGTATACGATATTGTTAACCTGACCATTTATTGAATATCTATTTACTCTTTTGTAACTTGATGGGACAATTACATGTCCTGCGTAATTAAGTTTTAAACATCCAGCACATGTATGTACCGACTTAGCGGAGGGTCAATCATTTGCCTATTGTTTGCATCTTAAAGTTAAAAGTACGCCAGACTGAATAAATAAATAGATTCAGAAAGAAGCATTGTTAGTTAACAATAATAACAGACTTTACAATGAGTTTCAGACAGGGGTGGCTAAGTGGTTAAGGCGTCTGACATTCTGCTACCACTATAGCCCTCAATCACTGGGTCGCGGGCTTGAAGCCTATGTGGGGCAGTCGCCAGGTACTGGTCGGTGGTTTTTCTCCGGGAACTCTGGCTTTCCTCCGCCATCAAAACCAGTGGCACATCCTTCAATGACCATAGCTGTTAATAGGACGTAAAACACAAACAAACCAAACAAACAAACCAAAACAGTTTCAGAAAATGCTTTTTGAAATGACAATTGGTAATTTTCTCTATTAAGTAAGTCCAGTGTTTTACTAATTGGCTCACTCTGGCGGGGTTGTGCAGTTAACAGCCTGAGGGAATTATAGTTTATGAACTTCATAAATGTTTATGAACAATCCATCATAGCTTGTGGAGAGTAAATAATAAATTTCATTCTGCAGTAGCAGTTAAAACCCTGTGACCACTGTAAACCATAATGGGCTCATCCAGATCAATGCATGGTAGAGCCTACTAAAGTTACGTAGGGGTGAAAGGGTTAAAATCCTGCCACTACATGTAAGCTGTGTAAAGAATACTTTCCTCATATAGAGAGCAAAGATGATGCTCAAGATGTAGGATTATAAAGATACTGGCACATACAGGAAGCAAATTCACTGCTCCGTATGGATAGAACAGATATTGTCAGCAGATATACTTCTCCATTGATCGAGGGAAAATTAACATGGTACTTGAAAAAGGGGAACAAGTATCCTGATCCTCATTGGGATCGAGTTAACTCACATGTAGCAATAGTAATCAGCTAATATAGTGACAGTAAGTGATCCTCTTTCATATCAGCACATGATTCCATTCTAAACTGGACAAATATTTTTTGTAAAAAATGAACCCGAGGGAAAATATATAAAACCTATATAATATTATAATTACTGCCAAGATATTCAAGAAACCGAATATCTAAATATTGGCATCAACTGGTAATCTAGATAAAAATAACAGCTATTGGAAAAATGTTTAGTTGAAGAAAAATCTGACGTCATTTTGACGTTATGAATAATGTCGTTGGCATTATGATAATGCTCATTTACTTTGTCTTATCACACAACACTGTAAAGAATGATGATAAAAAATATTGCAATCATTTTTGAAGTTTATTTTTCAGCATTTTACAATTTATTCAATATTGTATTAATTTTGAATCCATGAATATATATCTACAGTACTTCAGTAGAGGTACAGACATAGTTCAAACTGTTGGTGATTGTTTAACAAGAGAGGAAAAATGCACGGCCAGACCAGGGTTCGAACCCAGGACCCTCCGAACTCTAGACGGATGCTCTACCATTATTGAGCTATCTGGTCGCCGATGTTTGACCCAGTCCAGTTCTGCTACATTCCTCCCTCCTTTAACAAAGTCTTCGACCCCGAAGACACACAAGACCCTATATACCACCTTTTGTGGATATATTTCGTTGGGTGCCAAATGTAATAGGAGAGGAAAAATGCACGGCCAGACCGGGGTTCAAACCCGGGACACTCCGAACTCTAGACGGATGCTCTACCAATTGAGCTATCTGGTCGCCGACGATCGACCCAGTCCAGTTCCGCTACAATTGTATAAGTGTGTTATAGTGTACTGTGTACCTGTCGCAAACTGATATTGATGTTTCACCAACTATTTATTAGTTACCATGGAAACTACTAAGCTTGGTGTGAAGTCTTTCTTCTATTTACATTTATCTTTATTTAGAACAATATTAGACAATGTTATAAAAATTATTTCAATTGTCCAATTGCCTCTGTTTAAAGAGACATATTTTTTATTGAACAGTAACTAGTCGTAATGTTAAAGATCAATTACAGAACTAGGATCATAATGAGATGTATATAAGGGTACACAGCTTTTGTATACAGCTATACATCACGACTAATTGTCTGGTATTTACATAACGTATTCTGTTTATTTAAATAAAACATGGTAGGGTCGAGACAAATGTACATTCATACAGAGGTGTAGAATACAAGTGTTTACGAAACATAGAAATTAAATGTCAATATTGATTCTGATCTATACACAGCTGACTGTGTAATCTTACAGCCATGTTTGTATACAATAGTCTATGTGTACCAACGAAAGTGGCTACTGGTGTGTCTGACTCACTGACACCTTAAAAGTATTTACATACATACGATAGTCAGCGACTACCCACTTAAAGTTATATCCAACAATACTTCATAATCTAATTTCTTTTTTTGAGGGGAGCTTTTTATCCTAGCTCAATAAACAAGAAATCTACAGCAAAAATGCTGTATAGCAGTTATATTTTGCGGGTGTTTTAATTTCGCTTTATTCACACTTCGACTAATATCCGTGAATTCTAAACATCAGCGAATTTATCGAAAATGTTAACTATTGTTTCAGACCTTAATACAACATGTTGAAAATACTTATAACCCAATGCTGTTGTGCAAGCTCAAATGAACTCAAATCAGATTATCACTGGACAACTGGGCGGTCCATGTAAATTAACAACACTTTTACATATAAGTGGCCATAACGTATTGATGTGTACACAGTAGGTGATTTATTGATTACAGTTTACTCCTACAAAGGTACATACACATTTGATTTTCTTTCGAGTGAAGTCACTGGCGGATGTCGACACTCGGGATCAGTGTTTTCAAAATGTTTACCTGTGTTTCGAGGTTTAACCCTTTAACGATGACACTCAAAATACTTTACACGACACATGGGATTTGGTTGCACAGCAAAATTTCACCCCCTCGAATATGACCTGAATACGAAACCACGAAATATTGACTCCGCAAATTTAAAGCGCTATACAGTATCATAAATCATAATGGCTTATCACAGTTTGAATATTTTGTTTCAACGATGATAAGAAAAACTAAATATCAGGATTTTTTTTGTCCAGTCAAACTTTTACCCTGCGATGGTAAAGTACATCGTCGAGTATTAATTTCGCCCTTCACTATTGATTACTCGGAATGTTATTTTGTTTCCTGTGTTCATTAATTGTAATGATAAATTCAACCTACTTGCAGCAGGCAAAAAAGACGTACGTTAAAAGTGCGGCGAAAAATCCCCAGTATATAGTAAATATAATTGTACAACGTTCGCACAGTTCCATCATCTTAATATTCGATTTCCTTATCATGTTATTATGCCAATTACTTCAAGGTTTAGAGTAATTTTTGAGATCCATGAATATTTTTTGATACAATATCTTTTTGAATGTTTCCAGTTGGTGCTAACAACACTGCAGGTATATGTTGAATATGATGAAACCTAATAATATAGTTACAGAAAGTCGATCTGAGTTGTTGTGTCTAACATTAAAATTATGATAACGAGAAATGTGATGTTTACCAGGGGTTTTGCCAGGGTGTTTATAGGGTCTGGTATATAGGGGGACCCATTCCCAATTGAAAAATGACCCTGTATTTTCCCAATTTCAGTCTTTATTTTTCCAATTAGATAAAAAAGCATGTTTATACAAGTTTCCAGTCATTATATGTGCAACGTTCAAAGTATTACCGTCCATGAAAGAGCATTCAAAATACATAAATAACGGAAATTTGAAATTGAATAAACAAAAACACTGAAAATTGATGTGGTTATTTATTGCTATACATTTTACTGTAAGAAACAGTTAGAGGAAATATTTTTGCAAATCACATTGTACTGGTTCTGTTTCTCAAAACCTGTGCATGTGGGAACACTGATGATATTTCCAAAGTTTTGCCCAATGCCGATGTTATTATCCCAATTCCTGCTCAGGAGCCCTTTCCCAAAATAGCTGGCAAAAACCCTGTTTACATCTAACAGTCTGAATGGTAACATGGCTAATGGGCTGCTGTACTGGTACATTGATATGGTGATGTTGGCTCTAACACTAAGACTTGTAATACCGATAACTGTGATATGTGATTGTTTGTCAGCATCGATCGTAACGTTTAATTGCTATTGTGCGGTATTGGTGATGTTGTTCCTAACCATAGTACTCTAGGAAATTAATATTGATGTATTGATTTATGGCCATCTAACAGCCAGAGTTGTAACATACATGGCTTAAAGGGTGATTTAGTACAGTATTAGTGTTCCTGGGCCCACTTGTATATAACAACTCAAAGTTAAGGAAAATCTCAAGCAATGTATTGTCTATGAGAAATCTTAGACTTGAGGAAATCTCAAGAGTTGAGATGTTTTATACCAGTGGGCCCTGTACCTAACTATCAATAATTTCAATACAAGTAGTAGAATCTGCACAATCTGCTGAAATAATATCTGAATTAAGATTCTGTAACTGTAATATCAAAATTTTACTTTTTACACAAACAATGGACGTACTAATTGTGTCGCAACGTCCCTTCAAGACTGTGCAAGATCTACACCCCACCTGTAAACTGTATCTGATGCAGCGTGTATACGCTCCCTATCGATAGGCGAAATGTCTCGGGTCGAGTAACATTAAAAAAAAATCACAATTTCATCACATTTGTACAGGTAAATAACACTAATTGCTCACTCAGTCATAGCTTGACAAAGGGACCAGTTTGTCTTGAAACATTGCAACATGTTTAATACGTACATTGTTTGTGTAAAAAGTAAAACTTTGATATCTGTAACTGTAGTGGACATATAGTCTCTTAACGATTACTCTCTCTAAAAGGCTCATGTTTACATGCACATGCAGAGACAAGGGAATAAACCCTTTTAACTCATTTACCCCTGCAGGCGCATTTGAACTCTTCCAATTCAAAGGTTGGAATAGTTCATTATGAAATTTCAGGGGTGAATGAGTTAAGGGAATATTCTAGTACATCATGATTCAACCAGAAAACTCTATATAATTGTAGTATATCTGTAATGAGAACTGAATAGTTTTATACAATGGTAGTACATGTATAACGAATATTATATATATTCTCATATTGTATCATTGTTGCATACCATGATTGGCAGAATTTGTATCTGTTGATGTCTGATCTTTAAGATCAAAGCGATTTTTACTTTGACTGATGCATGAACAGTAACATCATTATTAAATCATGACAATGTTTGGAGAAAGGTTATTTTCACAATCTGCTTTCTTTCAGGTGATGAATGTCGAACAGAAAGAGAGTTACCTCCCTTGTTACTTGGCCCTGACTTCAAGTGCAAAAACTTCCACTTTGAGAATAAATTGTTTCATTTACATGGAGGTAAGATAAAACTTTGCAGGTCATGTATAAGTATTTATTACATACTTTCTAATAATTATGTTTTTTTTGTATATGCGATACGACACAATAGCTCTAACCCATATCAGCCCTCGCTGTATCACACCCCAAAACCTGTATCAACCCTCTCCGTATCAGCCCACAAAACCCTATTAATACACCCTTTTTTTATGAAATTTCAATATTTCAAAAGAAAATTATATCATAAAATAGAAGATCTATCTGTATATTATTAGTAAGTATGTAATAAACAGAATAAGCATGCCATTTTCCATATCACACAAAGTGCTTTATCTACCCTCGACTAATTTCAGCCCTTTGGCCTCTTGCCCTCAGGCGGATATTGGAGTCTCGGGTTGATACTGGGCATGTATGAATCAAGTTTAGCTGGTAATCTCCATTGAATGATCTTACACTCTATGGAAAGAATGCAGGGCTCAAATAGGTTTCTCTTTTGCACGATTTTTTTCGGTGTTAATTACCCATGTTACCTTTGTTAACATGAGTTGACCTAGTTCTGACCTTTGTTGACCTTTGTTGACCTTTGATTCCCTAGGTATCCTGATAGACCTGGAGACGGACCCTATCGAGGAGGCTCCCAAGTCCTTCCAGGATCTGTACCAGGAGATGATGTCAGAGTCCGAGGATTACCTCAGTAAGATCCTGGAATTTGAGACACTCAAGGAACAGTACAAGATCCCTACTCGTACCATCAATGGAAAGCTGTAAGTTTGTACGGGGTACTCTGCGTAGATCCCTACACGTACCATCAATGGAAAGCTGTAAGTTTGTACGGGGTACTAGGTAGATCCCTACACGTACCATCAATGGAAAGCTGTAAGTTTGTACGGGGTACTAGGTAGATCCCTACACGTACCATCGATGGAAAGCTGTAAGTTTGTACGGGGTACTAGGTAGATCCCTACACGTACCATCGATGGAAAGCTGTAAGTTTGTACGGGGTACTTAGGGTAGATCCCTACATGTACCATCGATGGAAAGCTGTAAGTTTGTACGGGGTACTAGGTAGATCCCTACACGTACCATCGAAGGAAAGCTGTAAGTTTGTACGGGGTACTTAGGGTAGATCCCTACATGTACCATCGATGGAAAGCTGTAAGTTTGTAAGGGGTACTAGGTAGATCCCTACACGTACCATCGAAGGAAAGCTGTAAGTTTCTATGGGGTACTTAGGGTAGATCCCTACACGTACCATCGAAGGAAAGCTGTAAGTTTGTACGGGGTACTTAGGGTAGATCCCTACATGTACCATCGATGGAATGCTGTAAGTTTGTATGTGGTACTTAGGTTAGATCCCTACACGTACCATCGAAGGAAAGCTGTAAGTTTCTATGGGGTGCTAGGTAGATCACTTGTTACTTATTAAGAAAACTATTTGTAGGTAAATCTCCTTTGTTATTGAATTGACCATTGATCTTTGATGAAAAGGACATACTGGGGTATTCAAAATAGCGAAAATATTTTGAAAATACTTTGATTTCAACACTGAGAAAAATTAGACAAAATAGACATAAGTAGAGTTATTATTCGGTATTTTCAGCCCCCAAAAAAAGTATCTGCGCAAATTACATAGGTGCGCAATTTACACTGGATTTTACAGTTTCTGTCAAAAATTACGGGGGGAAATAATATACATTACAGATCATGAATAAAGGATACTTTGATGGGATAATTTTCTTATTCTGCAATTTTATTGACGATAAGTAAAATGAATATATAAAAGAAACGAAAATATTTCTATTTCAGGTATTATGTTATGATGATGGAGTTTGAAACGTTTTACCCACAATCCCCTCATAAACCTCTATGGGTGCGCAGTTTCTTTGAGGAGGTAGGGCGACTTAAGATCAAGAAGTTGCCATTCCAAGACCAACAATTGATTGAGCAGTTCAAGAAATACTTTGGTTACAAAAAGTCAATCAAGTATAAGGTAAGGACATGGAATTTGTTGTTAGGTGTTTTTTGTCCCTATGGCCACTTATATGAAATATCTTGTTTAATCATCACAGATACTTACTTATCGTATGATAAATTTCAGAATTTAAGGCTCAGTGTGAACAACAATGTTTGATATATTTATTTCAATTAAAACCTGACTGCATTTAATGGACCATGGACTTGGCCAGATGACAACCGGAAACTATATAACTACCAGGTAATAACGTTTGGGGCATCAGAGGTTTCAGGTTCAAATCCTGTAAAGATGTAGGAAAAATAGGGCGATATGTGTAGCAAGTTTGGGATGGATTTCATAATCAATTTATTATTCATTTATAATAGATAAGATTTCTGCATGATCATTTTTCTTTTTTGGAAACTTACTACTATGAATAATTTTATCCAGAAAAAAAGTTTATTTTTACATTTCCAAGTCCCCAAATTTCACATTTAAGTTCACTTGAATTTCTGGATATCATTTACTTCAAATGTATTATTGATAACAAAATAACAAGGGTAATCGACGTTGGTTGCATGCATGTACTAACAAAATTGAGATGATTCCATGTAAAGGGACACAACTCTGACTTTGTTCTGTCCAATAGGCCAGGTTTGATTATAGTAATGTTATTGACTTTCTTTATCATGATTGAAGCATGATTTTGCCATTGTTTCGACCTATAGGGTAAAAAGGCTGTAGAAACCTTACCAGTGGTAGGTCCTGTGTATTATCTGTTAAATGTCAGTTCCTCATTGTAAAATATCTGTGGTCTCATTGAATTTTTTTTTTTTTTTTTTGTGAATTCTGACTCAGATTTCAATTTTTCATTAGCTGTGTTAATTGATCTAATAGAAAAACCTGATCGTTTTGGAACAGGGTGGTCTAGTGCATGGCAACATGCCTGACCCACATGAAGACCCCCAGTTTGTGCTTCTATATATCAGGGTCAACATCAATATGCATCAATATAAATATACAAAATTTGTTTCATAACTTTTGTAAAATTAATTAAGTTTGAAGAACAAAACCCATTTTGGACCACATATAACTGTGTGAATCTGAGGAATTGACAGATGTACTGCAATAACAGTGGAAGGGGGATTCTGCTTTGATGAAGTGCCTGTTAATAATTTTCAAAATTTCAGGTATATAATTATGGAATATTTAAATATCTATGATTGGTTTGATTTCTAACAAGATCTATATGCTTATATGTTTCTGAAATTTTTAAATTTCAAATTTTAAACTTTTGAAAATATACACCTTAGCTACTTCTTTTCTATCTATATATATATCAGAACAAACATTTGATTATACAAGTGGATACAAATTCTGAACATGTGCCATAACATTTCTGTGAAATAATCAGAGCAACAAATTTTGCCTGATTTTATTGTATTAGGTACATCACCACTTACCTGTTATAATGCTTGTGAGTTCATACCTTCAGTACTTGGGATGTTGTATACAGGAAAGTGACTCGGACAAATAATCGGGTATATGAAGATATTGAATCACACTTGCATTCACTTTCATTATTTTTGTTTTTCTGACTGTAACATATTGTTGTCAGTACTCCAGTCAGCAATAAATTGACCAACCAAAGTCAAAGCTTGCACATTTTTTGTAACAAAGGGAGGTAATCCAGTGGTCTCTATTGCTAAGGGGAGGTAATCCAGTGGTCTCTATTGCTAAGGGGAGGTAATCCAGTGGTCTCTATTGCTAAGGGGAGGTAATCCAGTGGTCTCTATTGCTAAGGGGAGATAATCATGTGGTCTCTATTGCTAAGGGGAGGTAATCCAGTGGTCTCTATTGCTAAGGGGAGGTAATCCAGTGGTCTCTATTGCTAAGGGGAGGTAATCATGTGGTCTCTATTGCTAAGGGGAGGTAATCCAGTGGTGCTTCAATTGCAGAGTTTTGTGTTGTGTGAAATGATAACGAAACCTTGATATAAAAATGGTGGTGGATATATGTTTTATGTGTTTGAATTGAAAGGATTTTTATGCAGTTGTGCTTCAGGACTTGTTTAGAACTGTATAACTAAAATTCAAGGTTAGTTTGGTGATTTAATTACTTTCATGTTTAGGCAAAAAACATTATGTATGTTTGAACTTTCAGGTACCCTGCCCGACACTAGTTTTTACCTTTGATCCTATTTTTTTTTTATCTTACTCAAATGTACTTAACCCTTTCAACACTGTAGACCATAATGGACTCATCCATATCAATTGATGGTAGAGGTTATTAAAGTTACATAGGGGTGAAAGGGTTAAAGCATCCCATTGTACACCTCGAAAATTGTAAGCATCTTTAAGACCCCTCTTTCCATAGGCAGGTATCAAAACCAAATTTGAATACCATATCATTATTTAAAAGACCTTAAAATATAACGAAAATGAATAACCGTGTTCAGTGATTTTTTGTAATTTCTTAAGTTGGTCCCCCTCCCCTCTGTTCCTAAAAATAAAAGAAGAAAAAAAACCAACAACATAAATCCCTACCAACCTACCTTATTTTTTCAGTCATGTTACCTGAAAACTAATTTCTTTTTTAGCCTGATTTAATAAGCTGTTTAACTTGAATGACAATAATTAGATATATTTAACTCATTTGAGGTAAGTTTTCAGAAGCTATATTTGTTTATATTACAGAGATGATTTTTTTCCTCTTTTGAGAGGTTTTCCTCCATCTTCCTATTTTTCCCATGATTTTAAAAGTTCCTTATTTTTTTCTGAAACATTAAAAAGTTCAAACTTTCTAAGAAGGAGAGGAGTGTATCTCCTTTTGCACTTTGATTTCCACCTTTTTCACCTTTTCCAAATCAAATTCTTGGTATTGTTAAATACCTTCAATTATACAAAAACTTCACTTGCAATAAAACATCTGAAGTGTTGATGAAGTAGATTCTGAAATAATATTCATCAATTAAAATAAGATTTTTTATTTTCCTTATATAGACGCCCCTGAACGGTCTGAAGGCCGCCGCACAGAGAGGTCTGGTCATCATGTTTATGACCCAGGTCAGGAAACTAGGCCAGGCTTCACGGTTGAGTAAACAGGACGAGCAGGGCCTCTCACTGCTCCACCATGCTTCAATGAACAACCGGCCTCAGATCATCACACACTTGCTGCTACAGTCCATGGACATCAATGTCCGACGTAACAACATCATGTCGACAGGTACGTTACCATAGCAACACTAATTAGCTAGAAATTGCCGACTATTTACCAGATTGTTCTTTCATCTTATGTTTTGATTTGAATAACGTATACACAGTGTTTAAAAATGAATGAGAAAATGTTACATTTTATAACTCACTTTTTTTTCCTAAACATTATGAATCGCTCCGATGATTAAGGATCCCAGTCCCACAGCAGGCAAAAAACTGGAGAGTTCCACTATAGATTTTTGCTCATAGAGTAACTTCCCTTTAATTTCGTTTTGTATCTAGCATGCCTGCACAAGGGTATAACCATTGATCAGGTAGATCAGTTGACTGGAGCGATAGTATAATGATCTGAGGTCAAGAGTTCAAATCCTGGTTTGGCCTCGTTGTATTTTTTAAAATTTAAAACAGTGTTGTTGGTTTCATAAATGCTCCACAAGGTATGGTTTTCTTTTCAGAAATAATTTATCAAAGTTGTTGTAGAAAAGTTTCCAATGCATAGTTAATCAATTTTTGGCAGTGGTGCAAGGATCCTTAATTATTATTTTTTTTAATTACATGTAAATTTATGCAAGTTTTATTAATGCATTCAAATTCTTGACATGATAAAGAGTTATAAAACTAAAAGACATTACATTTATGATGCATAAAAAAGTTGAAGGTACTAGAAAGATTTTTTGCTTTTTATTCATAAGAAGTTTATCCAGTTCTCGCAGTTCATAAGAAGTTACCCTAGTTACCAGTATTCCATTAAGTAATATTTTAGAGTCAGTACCTTTACTTAGACATTTTTATTACCTGTTTATAGATCACTTCCCCAACATTTTTTCTTAGATAGAGCAGTTTCTCCCATTTTGGACCAGCACAGAATATTGTGTAGATACCCATATGTTTTAATATTTCTTTTAGAATTTAGTTAAACTCATTCACCCCTGAAGTTTCATAATGAACTATTTCAGCTTTTGAATTGGAAGGGTTCAAATGTGTCTTCAGGTGTGAATGAGTTAAAGCAGATTTCATTTTAGAATTACATTTCCTGACCAAGTCCCTTTTACTGCAGTAATACTATATTTATTAGATCCACCTAATTTTTATAACATTAAAATTAAATATTATAATTTCCCTTTATTGTAAGCAGTAGGTTGATTTTGTAGAAAACTAAAATGTTATAGAGTTACATTGTGGTCAATGTTAATATATATAGGATCTTACATGAGTTTCCATTTCATATGAGATTTATGAAACGAGTCTTCAGAATTTTTCAATTAAGCGAGCCTTTAGCGAGCTAAAATGAAAAACTTTGTGACGATTATACAGGTGTACAAATGATACAGGGTTACATAGAAATTTATAATGAGGGACCTAGATATATATAAATGTCTGGTTTATGCAGGTATATAGACTATACAGGGTTATATAGAAATGTATACAGCAGGGTGACGTACCTGTCTAGGGAAATTTAGGAGGTTTGAGAATCTTTCACTTAATTCTGAAATAACACCAAATTAATCAATTTTAGCAAGTTTCAGTAATAAAATCAAACTCATGATTGGAGATTATTTTTTTGAAATATTAATTCTTAGATAATATTCTGAGTCAGTGGTTTCTGGTAGGTAAAATGTAGGGTCTGTCAAATACTTCACTAATTCATGGCCAGTGTTATTTTTAAATTATATCTTTTTGATTATCCTGGTAAATCTGTATACTTTCGATGTTTGCAGTATTGTTTGTTCCTATTTATTATGCATGATGTGTTTCCATTGTGGTTTAATGGTTTTACATTTGTGAATGGAATGCCATAAAAGTTTCACCTAAATTTTGATAAATAACTGTTGACCCATGGTGTTTCTTGTGTAATATGCATGTTGAATCCCCTGTGGCACACATACATACTGATAAAACGTTGTGTTCCCCAATTAACTATCTTGTTACTGTTGGAAATGTTTTGCCATAATTAATTGATGATGTACACAGAGAGTGATGATGTAATACACATTAATAATGATGTGGAACCCATTGTACACAAAAACTGATGATATATACACATTTAATCACTGGTTTGATGATGTTTTTCACAATTTCCACACAGAGGGCCAGGGGAAAGGGTCATCGGATGGCCTGCGTTCCTTCTTCCTTGAGATTTGTAAATAACCATTTCTGATTTTGACCTTCTTTCACCCTCACCCTGCCCAGTCTCTTGACGTCTTCAGCTATAATATAGATTTCTATAGTCAAACAGGAAAATCTTTTATTCTCTGCAAAGCTGCTTATATTGAATTCTTCTCAAGATTAATGTTCTTATCTTGCCATGTTATTACTGTATACAGTTTATATAATATATAATTGTATATATCCATATTTATCATGTACTAATAAATACTGTTTATTGTTCAGCCCACTCTTCTCGATTCCATAACCCACCTCATTTAACAAAGACCAACAGATAACAATGATCCTGCATGATTATTAATTGTTGGATACTTCTAGCTAATCTCCATGTGTTTCATGGCACTTGATCATCCTCTTCCCAAACTTTACCCCCTCCCCAAAGTTCCGTGTGTGTACTGTAATTAATTGTTGTAACCGTCCAATCGTGGCATCAATATTTCTCCTACTAAATCAGAATTACTTACTCTCACTATGCATTTTGATTCCACTGGGTTTTAATTTTTTCATAGACATGAACTAACTGATAGAGTAGTCCGGTTACACATTAAAACAGCACATTTACCACCTTACCATCTATATGTTACACATTAATAATCTTTTTGATTTGTTTGTTACTTACATTTCATATAAAATTGGCAGTGTTACCTTAAACTTATTTAAACTTATACCACCCAAAAAAGCAGCCAAACTATCATGGTTTTGTAAGGATCTAGCTTTGATTACCATAACAGAGCATGAAAAGTGTCTTCATTTCAGAATATATATATCTGTGACAAAATTGAGATGTGTTACGCTTTCTGATTGGTTGATGTACATGTTGTTATACATGACAGAACTCAGAGATGTGTTCTGCACTCTGATTGGTTGTTGTTGTTCCCCAGTTAGTTGGTGTTAGAACATAGTAAGAAATAAAAACGAAATTATTTTTCAGCTGAAATTTGATACGATGATTGAAATAACTTCATTCTTTGAACATTTTTTTTGATTGGAAGAAATGAAATTGTGACAAAAAATCTTTTAAAGGGACAGGAGAAAAAGTGATGGAATCAAAAGCGACAGGTATTTGTCATGCATGAGCTTCACTTTGGTTTTTACATGTGGTGATATGACAGTCATGCTCCACTGAATACAAACGTCATGTGACAGGTTTTAGTCACATGACACACTGCATGCAATCATGCACAGTCGATGAATATAAAGCAAGCGTGACTGTCCTCAGACATGCAAAGCATGTGCTACACATACACATTATATATTATCTATTTACTCCGCGCTTATTTTGTTTTCTGTGAGAAGTTGGAACTTAACAGGCTGTGTGAAGGATGCACTGGTTTTGCTTATAATGGAAAGATCAAAAGTTCAATTAAGCATTGAACTGCTTTCAGTTGGCATTCATAGGCAATATGATTGCCAACTGGACACAGGCAAATTCAATAAAACGTTGGATCATGTTGTCCAGTTGGAATTCATATTGCCTATGAATGACAATTGAAAGGAGTTCAATACTTATATTTACCATTTTTGTAATCTGTTCATCACATAAAAAATTCAATTACACTTATTATTATACAGCATTTAGTTCAAATAATGTATGTATCATGTATACTTGTTCAATGAATAGAACAGCCATCACTCGGGATGGTCAGTAGTATCCAACGAAACAATTATGACGTCATAAAAGTGATGACGTCAACAATCGGTCCATGGCATTCATAGCCTATATGAATGCCAACTGAATTTGGTCTAGGGTTATATAATGGCAATGCCATTCGATGGTAAATATATTGCAATGGAGAACATTTGTTCTGATGTTTGCAGGACATGAATTATGCAAAAAATTCACAAAAGAAGTCTTGATGATGACAAGAACTACAGATTATTAGCCCTTTCACTCCTATATAACTTCAGTAGACTCTACCATGCATTGATCTTGATGAGTCCATTATAGTCTACAGTGGTGAAAGGGTTAAAGGAAAAAATGGAATTTATTATGGTTAAGTGAAGCCATGGACAGAGAGCTAGGGTATGTGTAATACCTGTGGTTTAGGCAGCACAGTATACAGAAAAGGGAGGATATTATTGTCCAGCAACCACTATAGATATATTCTGAATGATCATAATTGAGATACCAAGTAAAATGAATCATTCAAGTACCCTTTTAGAGGTGGTATTAACTCATTCATCCCTTAAAACCTATTTGAACCCTTCCAATTCAAAGGTTGGAATAGTTCATTGTGAAATTTCAAGGGTGAATGAGTAAAAATTTATGATAGATTACGGGGATTAGAGGGGTGAGGTTGGTTTTAATAACGGATATGCAGGCAGTAGATCGGAGTATATTATATTTCAACATGACATATTGTGAGAGAAAACATAATTTAGGGAGTTAATATGTTTCGAAGAATGAGCTGAATTGCTAGAAGTGGAAACAGTTGTGATTGAAGTGGAATCAAAGGAGTTAAATGGAAAACCATTCATTAAGTGAGATGTCTTATAATGCATAAAAAAAATAAGTAAATGTTCCAGTTATAGAAATAGTCAAATGTTAATAATTGTAATGAACATGAAATTGGACCTTTCAAATCAAATGTTGATGAAGATTTTAAGGTAAAGAGGGCAGGTACAAATATGGCAAGGAGACCTAGATCAGGTCTTAGTCAGGTTGAGCAAATGGAGGTTAGCATTATACTCAAAGTAATCAATAGAAATTGACTGAATTGGAAAAATTAAATGTCTTGGTGGAATAGTGTTTTGCATGCAGCATGAACGACTTAGTGTATTTTTAATTATTCTGATGTCACAATAATTAATTAGTACAGTATGAAAGGAAACACTTTGCATGATTTATAGATATAGCATTTTATATGCTATTTTTTCTATAGTATTCATATTTCATTTATATTATCAAATTTTCTTATTAATTGTTTCTTCAAAATATAAAGTTTTATATCTAAATAAAGCACCTGTGTGGGAGATATTTACTGCCTGTTGAAGCTCTGATTTAACTGGGTTAATTTCCCCAGTGACGCGGTTACTGGGAAACATTTAAGTGTTGAATAAAGTTTCTTTACAAGTTTTTTTTCTACATTTTAAACTGTCTTTCTGTCATCAACATCATTTCAAAAATCCCTAAGATCTAGAGTAAGAAAAACTTCCTTTAAAGATGCATGATTTGTAGAGTTATGATATTTAGACAATTTAAATAAATTTGACCTTTATCCACTTTGAAGTTCACAAATGTGAGATGAATAAGTTAACAGTTAAACGATACAGGTCTATGGGGCATCTTGTTCTTCCACTGTTTCAACACAAAACACACAACATTGTATACAAAGGTTGGTTACTTGTCACTTGTAAATAATAAACAGCAGGTTATCCTATTTAAATAAATTTGACCTTCATTCATTTAAAGGTCACAGATATGAGATGAGTAATTTAACAGTTAAATGATACAGGCCCATGGGGCCTCTTGTTCTTCCACTGTTTCAACACAAAACACACAACATTGTATACAGAGGTTGATATAACTTGACATTTGTAAAAAATAACAGCAGGTCTATTTCACTTGTTATTACTCATTCACCCCTGAAATTCCACAATGAACTATTCCAACCTTTGAATAGGAAGAGTTCAAATGTGTCTTCAGGGGGGAATGAGTTAACAAAACCATGGAGGTGAATGGTCAGTTATAGCTTGAGCTGCTTTTAGTTTCAATGTCACGAATGTCAAGTAAAAGACATATATAGTACATATTCAATGCTCAATGCAGATATATTTTATAATTTATGGTACCAGTGGTATATTGTTTCAATTAACTCAAAGTTTATGCTGCATACATTAACACCTAAGTTTGAAGTTTGATATACATAATATTTCTTGTATTTAGTTTTTTAAATTTGCTTTTGAATTTTTTCAATTCATTTGTTTATCCTGGATTATTTTGCTTTTCAAGACAATTTTCTTTACAAGTCATTGGAATTTCTGCTCAGTGTTTTGAGAACATTTTACTAACCCAGATTGTGTCAAGTTACATTTCTAAGTACCATTATTGCTATGTACTAACTTTTGAACACATTTTATTTAACATTTTCCATTTCTTCGTATTTTTAAGATGCAACTTCCTTTTCAGAATCAAATTTATCAGTATGATTTAGATGAAATTGCATGTTATTTTAGCCAATTTGTAATGCAATATGGAAGAATTTGTGGAGAAATCATTAACAAAAATCTGAAAAAAATAATATTGTTAATGGTTTGCTTATTCATATATCAGGGAAATTAACTATTACAGTTTTCTACTGATAGTTAACAGTTAAAGTATGGGTATGAGGATATAGCAAGTTTATGATCCCGCGAGGCCAGGACTATTTCCCGAGGCGAAGCCTAGGGAAATAGTCCTGGACGAGGGGGATCATTAACTTGCTATATCCCGAAATACCCATACTTCAACTGCTTTATTATACCGATACAAACACTCCCTTACAATATTCTAAATATTACTAGACAACAAATTTTTCAACAGTTGGGACACTTTATTAACAAAACTACAGCAATGCGAGATGAAGGTCGGTCCAGAAAGTACCCGCTCCGCTGGCCGGAAATTGCCGGAAATTGCCGACATAATTCGATTGCGCTGATTGGTCAATATTCAGTCAGGCCCCGCCCATGAGGTCACTCAATTTCCTGCATTTTCAGAGGGAAATAGTTTCAAAACTATCGCACCCCTCCAGACGAACTATTTCCCTGGCATGCAGTTAGAGGGGAAATAGCTTGTTTATGTGGTTACTTTTGTATAGTGTAAAATAAGTAGAGGTATAATAAAAATAAAAAAACACATTGATTTCTGTCAATATTCTTAAAAAATAATTGATCCTGGCATGAAACTGCTGAAAAAATTAACCCACAAATATTTTCCACATTGCAGTATGTTAAAGTGATATCTTCACTGTACTCTGTACTATTGCATGAACTGGTAGGTACAGCTAAATAACAACAGACTTGTTTTACTGGCATTCATCAGTTATACAGGAGACATTCTGCTTAATGAACTTGTATGTCTGTACCTCAAAATTTATTTTTTTATACTTTTGCATGAATTTTTTCAGTATGTTGAACAATTTACATTCACCTTCAAAGTGTATTTAAAAGTATATGACCATTTTATCAGTTTTAGACATTCATTTTTGTCATAGGAGCTGAAAAAAAGAAAACTTTATAAGTTTGCTAACAAAAGAATAAATTTAAAAGTATTGAGACATGGTTTATGAATGAAAAACGTCCAAAAAAGAAACCGTAAATCTGTTATGTATATAAAATAGAATTTCTGATATTTAAGAAAATGCATGTTTAGCATAATATTATATGCCTTAATGAATGAATATTACCGTATTTATCCGGAAATAAGCCCATGCTTGCTAATAAGCCCACCAATAATATATATTACTGTCAGGAAGAAATGTAACCAAAAACTTGTTCACTGTCATGTAATAATCCCCAACCCCTACTTTCAGTCAGAGATGATATGTTAGCCGCATTGGCTTATTGCTGGATAAATACGGTAGTTCATCTGATGGGTCTGGTGCTGTATTAATAATCCACTATCGCAAGCATGACCTGTATTGGTGTACCTGTACAATGTACCTGTAGCTGTAACGAGCCCTGTATATAATCACGGGGTACTAACAAAACCAAAAATTAATAAATATTCCAGTGTCATTTATAGCTTGTCTCACCTGGACAGTGTTTTTTATAATTTACTTTAAATTCTGATCATCAAATAAAGTTCATCGATAGATTTACTGATCAAGTGATAAAATTAGGTATTAATTGTGCATCAGGCTTAATTCTAATTAAATGACTTTTACCAAAGATATACAAAAACAAGTTAATGTATGCCTTATCCAGGCAGCACAGGAATTTCTGTCTTATTCTACTATAACATTTTGTAAAATAAAATCGTTACAAATTTGGGATGAAAATGAAAAAAATGCAAGAAAAGAACCATCAGATGCAGTTAATATTTGTTGCAATAGGACTTTAATTATTTTAGGACACAACAGGATGTATAAAATCACTTTAAATAATTTAGCATATGATAATTGATGGTTCTTCACTTGTGACAATAATTTATCATATGCTAATTGATGGTTCTTCACTTGTGACAATAGCACAGGTAGATATAACAAACCTGCCATTACGCCATTTTAGGGTGATTTCATATTGTAATCAGACAAACTTTTCGTGGGAATCCAATTTAAATATCAGTTTTAGAGTTGTCTAAAAACTTGTCCAAGATTGATGTTGTTGTATGATGTTGTAGCGTGTAAATATGAGGTTATATTTAGACCAATTTTATTTCAAAATATATCTTTTTTTTTACTTCTTCAAAAATATTTCCCTGAAGTTCTAGATAAGCAATTTTCTGAAAATATTTTCTAATAGTTTTTAATAATGAATTTTAACATTTAATTATTGTAATAAAAATTATGCAATTTTTTTCATGAAATTGAAACTTTATTTTGTCTCAAATTCTAGTTTATTGCTTACATTTTACTTGAAATTTCTTTTTCACAAGTTTCATTTATGATAAAATAAATGAACTAATATACTTTTAATTGAAATATCTGAAGACATTTTATGTCTATATTAAAAGTTTGTATTTCCTTAAATATTTTTGAAAGAAAAATGAATCTTTTTTCTGAAAATTGGACAAAAATGAAAAACTTGTGACTATAGAAATACATGTACATAAAATATCAGTGATATACTAGATTGAGACATTGACCTTGACCTTTGTATGACCTTGAATCGTTGGGTTTCATTACAGGTCCGACCTCCCTCCATGTGGCAGCCCGATGCGGTGCCCTTGATGCTCTCGCCTGTCTCCTTGCCAACTACGGCAACATCCTGGCAACGGACCAAGATGGCTGGGCTGCAATTCATCACGCTGCATTCTTTGATCATGAACCAGCCATTAAACTGATGATCAGGAAGAATGTCGGACTTATGGAACTAGTCACTAAAAATGAGTAAGAACCAGCAAACTACAAGCTCTTGGTTCTTTGTTAAGATATGGTTATCGATTTTTATTTTATTTTCAAAAGAACTTGAATTTTTCCTGTATTCTTCAAAATCTAAAAGTGCAGGTTTCATGTTGGTGTATTAGCTGTCTTGGTCAATATAAAACCCACTAATCCTATTTTTAGCTCACCTGGCCCGGAGGGCCAAGTGAGCTTATCCCATGGTGCAGCGTCCGTCGTCCGTCAACTTTTTCCTTTAAAATGCTACTTGTCCTGAATGGCTCAGAGGATTTTGACCAAATTTGGTCAGGAGCATCATTGGCCAAAGGGTTCTCAGTTTTGTATAAACGGAGGGTATAACCCCCCTGGGGGCAGAGGGGCGGGGCCAAATAAGGGGAAAATAGGTAAATCTTTAAAAATCTTCTTCTTCTCAACCAATAGAAGGATTTTGACCAAATTTGTCCTAGAGCATCTTTGGACAAAGGAGACTCAAGTTTGTATAAACGGAGGGTGTGGCCTCTTTGGGGGCAGAGGGGCGGGGCCAAATAGGGGAAGTAGAGGATTTTTTCTCTCCTACTATACAAGTGAAGGGATTTAAACCAAATGCAGTCTGAAGCTTGGTCAGGAGCATCATTGGCCAAAGGGTTCTCAGTTTTGTATAAACGGACGGTATAGCCCCCCCTCGGGGCAGAGGGGCGGGGCTAAATAAGGGGAAAAAAGGTAAATCTTTAAAAATGTTCTTCTTCTCAACCAATTGAAGGATTTTGACCAAATTTGTCCTAGAGCATCTTTGGACAAAGAAGACTCAAGTTTGTATAAACGGAGGGTGTGGCCCCTCTGGGGGCGGAGGGGCGGGGCCCAATAGGGGAAATAGAGGATTTTTTTTCTCCTGCTATACAAGTGAAGGGATTTTAACCAAATGCAGTCTGAAGCATGATTAGGGACAAAAGAATCAATTTTGTATAAACTGAGGTGTGTGGGCCTCCTTCTAAGGGCAGATGGGTGGGGCCCATTAGGGGAAATAGAGGAAAACATCAAATATCCTTCTCCTTTTGTACCGATGAAGGGATTTTGACCAAATTTGGTCTGGAGCATCATTGGCCAAAGGGTTCTCAGTTTTGTATGAACGGAGGGTATGGTCCCCCTGGGGGCAGAGGGACGGGGCCAAATAGGGGAAAATAGGTAAATCTTTAAAAATCTTCTCCTCAACCAATTGAAGGATTTTGACCAAATTTGTCCTAGAGCATCTTTGGACAAAGGAGACTCAAGTTTGTATAAACGGAGGGTGTGGGCCTTCTGGCGGCATAGGAGCGGGGCCCAATAGGGGAAATAGAGGATTTTTTTTCTCCTACTATACAAGTGAAGGGATTTAAACCAAATGCAGTCTGAAGCATGCTTAGGGAGAAAAGAATCAATTTTGTTTAAACTGAGGTGTGTGGATTCCCCTTCTTTGGGGCAGATTAGTGGGGCCCATTAGGGGAAATAGAGGAAAACATTAAAGATCCTTCTCCTTCTGTACCGTTGAAGGGATTTTAACCTAACCAAACTTGTTTTAGAGAATCTTTGGGCAAAGGGAATTGAATATTTATAAATGGAAGATGCAACTTTGTTACTTGTACTCCTTTGATAAACCTGAATGGTACTCAGTAGGTTTTAAATTGAAAAATAAAATACCAGGTGAGCTATTAAGGCCCCTGGGCCTCTTGTTGTTTCTGTGTTCTTAAATGGAACTGTAAATTTTTATTTATCATAAAATATTTCTAAATATTGTTACAAATGAGATATGTTGAGTTAATATGCAAAGCATTGTCAAACCAACCAAACAACATCTCACTGTTTTGGATCACTTGAATGGCTACCTGTGATTGATCATTCAACACGTTGACTGTATCTATCACATGATCACTGAGAGTAATATATGAGGTCAACAACTTCTGGTTATTCTTAAAGAACTTTCACAATGCAGCATACCTTCTCCTAAATTTAATGACAAGACTTAATTAGCACATTCACCCCTGAAACTTCACAATGAACTATTCCAACCTTTGAATTGGAAGAGTTTAAATGTGTCTTCAGGGGTGAATGAGTTAAAGAGAAATATGGTAATGATACAATACTTTAAGAAAAATACATGTAATACTGGTGTCTTTTCTTGATACTTAAACAATTTATCTTCGTTCAGTCTGAAGTCCACACCTCTTCTTCTGGCGGCAAGCTCCGGAGGTCTGGCGGCAGTGAAGTGTCTGATACGTCTTGGTGCGGACATCGTCAAACATGACACGGAGAACAACAACCTTGTCACTCTTGCTGCTCTCAGATTCCATACAAACGTTCTGGAGCACCTGATTGAGTGGGACCACAAAAGTGTTCCTGTATGGAAGATACTCGTCAGTACGTACTTTTACTGCAGAATCAATATTTGCATTCATGTTCAAAGTACCTTTCTGTTATATTCCAAAACTAGCATTTCTGTGGTGTAGCTTTTTTTCTTGGTTTTTACCCCTGGGTGCAAACAATTTTGGTAGAGTGTTGGGGAGGCAGAGGACTAACTCTTAGACATGTGATCTCTATCACTACCTTAACCTATAAAGTACCCAGCATTTTTATAACTAAAAAATAAATCTACCACAAGACAAATTATTGTTAGTTAATGTGGTCTTATACGTACTGCAGTTCTGTTTTTTTTTAAATTTTGGCTGATACAGTTAATCATTGAAAATCTGTGTGTTATCTTTGTGTTGTCACCTGTATAATTACCTTCATGTTACCTGTATGTTGTTGGCAATGTTTTATTACCTGTATGTAACCTGTATGTACCTATGATGTTACCTATACAGTTATCTGTTTTGCCTGTATGATACCTGTGTTGTTACCTGTATGTTATCTATGTGTTAATTGTCACCTGTATTATTACCCACTTGTTACCTGTGTGTTTTATTACCTGTATGTACCTATGATTTTACCTATACAGTTATCTGTTTTGCCTGTATGATACCTGGGTTGTTACCTGTATTATTACCTACTTGTTACCCGTGTGTTTTATTACCTGTATGTACCTATGATGTTACCTATACAGTTATCTGTTTTGCCTGTATGATACCTGTGTTGTTACCTGTATATCACCTTATGTTGCCTAAGTGTTGTTGTCAATGCGTTATTATCTGTATGTTACTAATATGTTATTACCGGGGTACCTGTCTGTTATTACCTGAGCGTTATTACCTGTCTGTTATTACCTGAGCGTTATTGCCTGTGTTTTACCTGTCTGTTATTACCTGAGTGTTAATACCGGTATTTGACCAGTGTGTTATAACCTGTCTGTTATTACCTGAGCATTATTACCTGTGTTTTACCTGTGTGTTATTACCCGTCTGTTATTACCTGAGCATTATTACCTGTGTTTTACCCGTGTGTTATTACCTGTCTGTTATTACCAGAGCATTATTACCTGTGTTTTACCTGTGTGTTATTACCTGTGTGTTATTACCTGAGCATTATTACCTGAGCGTTATTACCTGTGTTTTACCTGTGTGTTTTACCTGAGCGTTATTACCTGAGCATTATTACCTGTGTTTTACCTGTCTGTTATATACCTGTCTGTTATTATCTGTGTGTTATTACCTGTGTTTTACCTGTGTGTTATTACCTGTGTTTTACCTGTGTGTTATTACCTGTGTTTTACCTGTGTTTTACCTGTGCTACAGAGATGCTGATAGATCCTGATATCAAGAAAAAGGATAGTGCGGTCAAGTGTCTGGAGGTGTTGTCAACGTCCAAACCAGATCACTGGCAGGCCATACTGGACGCAGGTCAGTCTCATCACTAAGACTAGTGCTCCATTAGGTTCCATATAATGAAACCATGGTCACATATTGAATGTAATAACATGTTTTGTACACTTACAACTAGACACAAAAATTGTGCCGAAAACTTCTAAATTTTGGCTGTTCTATTTTACTAACACCATTTGTTAATTAGAAAAATGCCACACAATTACTGGGTTGTTTGCGCTCGAACAACAAGCTTATGGAACAAAAACATTGGAGACATGGAACAGTATCTCCTGATACAGTGACCACTATAGTTTTTTCAGAAAGACATACCTGTATAGCTTTATCAATGGGGAATTTGTCTTGGGAGTGGAATGAGGACACCTTCATGTCTTGGCTACGGTAATGATAAACAAGTCAATATATGACAGATGTTGGTTGAGGCAAAATGCTAAATGAAGCATACCGCTTATTATTAACCTGTACTCTGCATATTTATTAGGTCACATATGGTAAACTTATTCACATTTCCTTTTTTCATTAGATTGGAAATTTTTATGCATGTTTTATCCAAAACTGATATGATGAGACTAACGAGACCTCTAGCCACTAGATGACTTAATTAAGTTACTTAATCCTCTTCGTCCCGTATGGGACATGAGGCATCAACAATGAGTCTCCATTTGTAGAAGTCGCTAGATGAAATATGTCCTAATTTCTCCTGAGTTGCTGTATCTTCTGTGTCCAGGGACAAATATCTAATTTCTTTGGATCGGTCAATGTTGCAAATATTTCCATATCCAGAGACATATGTATTCCTGCAATGGAGTTTCCATTAACTATGTGTCCAAAATGTCAATTAACCCTTTCACCACTGTAGACCATAATGGACTCATCCATATCAATGCATGGTAGAGTCAACTAAAGTTACATAGGGGTGAAAGGGTTAACTATAGTTCTATTACTTCCTATTTTTATTTGAACAATATTTCATTTAATAAACAAACAATTCAGTAAACAAGTATAATATATAAGAGTTGAAAAACAAGCACTGTGAACTCTTCAATCAAATTTTTTTTTCAAGTTATTACACGCATACACAACACACATGGAGGCACGTCCTTTACTGACCTTAGCTGTTAATAGGATGTTAAACAAAATTAAACAAAACAAAACCGTATCACTCTCCAACTTCTTTTGTGTTGACAAAAGATAAAAGAAATAATTTTGATCTTTTAAAAAAAAGAAAACATATAATTTATCAACATTAGGAAAACTTTTTAGTCATAACTTTTATTGTTGATTTTTTTTGCAACCTTTGTAACAATACATCATGTGTATGTGTGCATGAAAGAAGGAATTTGCAATTTGACAATTTTTCCAGGAGTTATATGGCCCTTGAAACTACAGTTTTTCGCTACAGTAACCTTGAAAACACAACTCCTCGCTAACTATTTTTGGATTTTTTTTGTAACTTGACGCTGGGAAAGGTCATCATATATAAATGTGCATGAAGGAAGGGATTTGTGAATCCATTATAAATTATACCTGCTGCAAACAAAGTTAACATGATCAGATGAAGCGTGGTATATATATTTTTCTCTCATTTCCCTTTGTGTAAGATAGAGCTGTCCAGGGTAAGAAAGGGGTGTAGGAAATTTCTTTCTCTTACCCTGGACAGGTGTATCCGCACTTTTACTGGTGTGAGATTTCCTTGTGTCACCCTAGGGTTGAGACAGGGGGATTCCCCTATTTATAACAATGGTATGACGTCACTTCAACAATACAATGACGTCACATCAACAATACAATGACGTCACATCAATAAATCATTAACATCACGTCAACCCTGAATTTAGCATGTAACATTATCATTACATAGTGTTTATGATACACATTGGGAGAACAGGGTAAGAAAAAAAGAATCATTCACCCCCTTGTGGGAAAAATTCTTAAGTTGCCAAACATAAGAATCTTCCCCCTCAGGTTGAGATTCCCCTATCTCACCCCCAAGGGGGTGAGGGATTCTGTTAATCCTACACCCCTTTTTACGTGACGTGACATCACAATGGCTCAACATGACATGCAACACGAATTTGGAACTCTCCGATGCCGCAATGCGAAAAAAGGCAATGTGATGAAATTAAAACCTTTTACTATATATTTACCGTACAAGTTAGAAAGATGTCATTGTTTATAAATATGGAATATGCTTAATCTGGCTGGCTGATTCGTTTTTCGTCTAAAAGCTCAGGGGGAAAATTGATATTTTCAAAATGGTGGCCAGTCCAACCGCATTTTCATGGTTTCTGGGCTTATTCTGGTGGTTGGAATGAGAGAAATATACTTTTTCATGCCGTAGGGTCTATCCTACACCCCTGGGAATGAAAGAGTCTTATAGTCAGAACTTGCTCACAGTTTCTCTACTCTTTAGCTGTATTTAGTCAACATATATGTGTTTGTTGTTAGGAACTAAGGCCACAGTACATATAGATTCTCCAATGATAAAAAAAATACCTGCTTGACTTCAAATACCCAGAAAGATTAGAAAATTTCATTAGAAGACATAATTTTTGACAATCAGGACTTAAGATTTTGTATATGGTCATTTTTATACTGTTAATGATAAGTTAGAGGCTACTGTGTGTCTGTAGTATTACACATTCTGGTTTAGGATACTTATTATTGAATGTGATTTCTCTACATCTTTTTGGATTTTGTTGGGAAGGATTTTTCATTCGAGGTAAGGACAGTGTGTTGAGTTAAAATATAGCAGCTTTTTCTACAAATCTAAATAAATTTGCAGCTACAGTTTGAATGCAAACTGCTTTCATACCAATCAAATTTGTAAGTTTATGGTATATAAGCTTGTTGTTATAGACGTGAACTTTTCATTTGTGTTTTTGTAAACCAAATTTTTAGTAAGTTTGGGTTATTTGTAAAAGAAAAAGTAACCCTATGTTTTTTTTGTTAAAATACACAAAAATTGTGTTATAAACATGATCTTGATCTAGGTTGAAATATAAAGCATGCATTACAGAAAAACAGGTTGTTTCTGGGGAGAAAAACCTGTGTGTAGTTTGATTAAATCTTAAAAGTTTATTTATTTGTATTTTTTTCTCTCCAATAAATTGATTTTTGAAACAGCGATTCTGCTTTTTGCATGCACCATGCTTCTAACTTCCACACATACCTCATACATACGTGTACTGGCATTACTCCGAATTATAAAAAAATAAATATTGTACATCCCCTTTCTTTTGTGAAGAATCCTGTTTGTGTCTCTAAACAGGTTTACTGTTAAATAAATTAAATTATGTTGTTTAAATAAAAATACAAAAAAAAGAAAGATTTCTATATCTTCATTTGAGAGGCACGGTAGTCTGGTGGTAGGACTCCGGGCTCATGATCATGACTGAAGGGTTGCAGTATCGAGTCAATCCACGGCACTGTTGTATCTTTGAGCAAGATACTTTACTCTGCTTGTTCTAGTCTACTTAGCTGTAAATGAGTACGTGGTTGGGCAGTGCTAGAATTGTTGAATGCTAGCTGTGAGCACCAAATGGCAGCACCGGCTGTATGCTCCCCAGGGAGTTGAGAAAGATATTGGCTGGTTGCATTGGCCCTAATAAACCAACACAGATAATAATTTGTGAACTGCGTTGAGACGACCTAGGAACTAAGTTGTTATAAAGCGGTATATAGAACCACAAATTATTATTATTATTATTATCCACAGTTGATTTTGATGTCACTGTAAAGCTATAGAACAAAGACAACAAGTGATTTTGACTTTCAATCAAATGTCCCAACAAAATACTTTTTATGGTGATTTTTATACCATTTCAATATATGAGAAACAGAATGTTCTATTTTTTTTTATCAATAAATAACATACAATGTACAAAGGTGTATATATTTTGCTCATATGTCAGATTTGCACTCATCGGAATATCATAAAAGTCTATCAAAATTGTGTGAAAATATTAACCCTTTCACCCCTTATGTAACTTTAATAAACTCTACCATAAATTGATCTGGATGACTCCATTGTGGTCTACAGTGTTGAAAGGGTTAATGATATAAAACAGGAAACAATGGCATATCATCTGTGTAACAATAACTACCTAGATTACTTCTAATTCAAAAGTATAATCATGCAAAAATTGTGTAAATGAAACAAATGTATTTCATGTTAACCTAAAACCTCATCTAATCCCTTCAGTTTCTTAGAAGGTTTTATGAAATGTCCAAATTTCTTTGAAATTGTATACTAAAGGGCTGAAATATCAGATGAATTATTTAAAAAAAAAATGTTTTAAAAAAATATTAATACGATCATTAATATTATGTTAGAAATAATACAGGACTAGAGCTTTACTAATTTGTGATGTGAGAAACAGACAAACAATTCAATTTAACACAGAGGTTTCAATATTAATGAAAACAATGATATAGATTTAAATTACGTATTTTACAAAAAAGGAAACAGAATTTCTGAAATTATGTTCCCTTTTCCGATTTTAGTGGTTTATATTAATTTGTTTACAAAACCAAAGACTGCTCTGTTTAATACTGCTGTATGCTCCCAATAATGTTTTTCCTTCTGATATCACAGATGGCATTCCAGCGCTGGTGAGCGTTCTCAAGATTAACAATGAGGAACTACAGTCAGTGGCAGCCTCGGTTATCTGTAACATCTCGGAACAGGATCCCGTCCGTATTGCCCTGACGAAGGCTGACGCCATCCCGATCATCATTCAGCTACTGGGGTCACCGCTAGATGAGATTCAGTCGAGGGCTGCACTAATACTGTCAGATATTGCCTGTATGGACGACAATAAGGACTCCATCTTTGAGAAGGAGGGCATCGCTCCTCTGGTGAATCTTCTCGACTCGGAGATGGAGGATGTGCTGGCCAACGCGGTCAATGCGGTGCGCGTGATGTGTTTGGCCAACAAGCGTAATCAGGATGCAGTTGCCGAGTGTGGGGGGATACCACCACTTGTGGAATTTCTGACCGTTAACTCAGGTTTGTGGCAGGGGGGGGTTCTAGGATTCAGTTGGTAAAGACAGAAATTTATTGCTGGCAAGTTCACTCATTCACCCCTGAAGACACATTTAAACTCTTCCAATTCAAAGGTTGGAATAGTTCATTATGAAATTTCAGGGGTGAATGAGTTAAGATATCATAGACAAAATTTACTTTGATAAGCTGTAAAATTACATATTAAAGCGGACTCAAATTTTAGCATATTCCTGAATTTTAACACCTAAGTGCATCTAAGAATAACACATTCAAATTGTATACCATAGAAAACTGTAAACAGGAACTTCAATTTGAACAGTCATAATTTTGTGCAAGTGCGAAAAATTTAGAATAACACTAAAATATGTTCGCATACAGTAACTTATATGAGCTGAAGATTGAATTGAGCTATTGACATACATCTGTCATGCGTAGTTATCTTTTATAGTTTTTTACTTCCTTTCCGAAACCACTCAACAGATTTCAATAAACTTCAGGATAAAGCATCATTTTATAATATAAGGGGATGAAAGTTTCAGCTGCTGCCAGTTATTGGGGCAGGTCTGAAAAGGAAAGTCAAAAGTAATGATCTAAAGTCTTCTTTCCCATGCCTAGAAATAACACAGCTAAGCCATTTCAGTTGTAGGACGGTCTATAGCTAGGCAGTGACTTAATAGGGACTTGAAAAGTCAAATTTCTAAGGTCAAGGCCACTGTTACTAAAAAAGAACAATTGAGGGAGGGTGCAGTTCTTATCTTGCAATCCAAAAGTCATTTAACAATGATACACTGTCATATGTAGGTGTACAAAAGAGATTTAAAAAAAAAATAAGGTCAAGGTCACTATTTCTAAAAATAGGCCATAGGGGGATGGTCCTTAATGCAAAATCCAAAAGTCTAATATTTTTGACATGGTGATACACTGTGATATGCAGATGTGCAAATAGGTATTTAAAAAAATTCTAAGGTCAAGGTTACTGTTCCTAACAATAGACCATGGGGTTACAGTCAGGTGCATGAAGGGGCCCTTGCTGACCTGTCAGTGTTCTAGTTTTATTATAGAAAATATATATGTATTTCAGCAATTAAACACGCAATAGGGAGAATGACAATATTCTGAATATTGAGATCCACAATGGTTTGTCCCAGTTTCTTCAACCCTTTCACCACTGTAGACCATAATGGACTCATCCATACCAATGCATGGTAGATTCTACTAAAGTTACATAGGGGTGAAAGGGTTAAGTGTAACATCACCTTACTGTGTTCCTTTATTTTGAGATTTTATCAAATTAATGTAGTAGGAATCCTGATACATACAAAATATACACTTTTACATTACCCTGTTTTGTTACAGAGATCCTTCAGGCAGGCACAGCGGCGGCCATAGCAGCCGTAACCGAGGGCAACAAGAGTAATCAGGACACAGTGGTGAATGAGGGCGCTGTCAAGTAAGTTGAATCTCTGATTATTTTGTGAAAAAAGCATTAACAAACTAAGTTACAAATATCACACAGTAGATAATAAGCCACCTTCTTCATAATCAACGGTCCAGGGATCAAATCCCTAATGGAAGAGACAAGTTGTTTTTGTGAGTATAGGGGAACTGGACTGGTTCAATCATCCGGGACCAGGTAGCTCAATTGGTGTAGTGTCTGTCTATAGAGTTGGAAGAGTTTCTGGTTCGAACCACGGTCTGGCCGTGCATTTTTCTGATCCAACTGCATTTGGTACCTGTGACCAACCATTGTTTCAAGTACTTGGTGAATGCTTGACATGGGGATACCCGAACATGGGTTGTAAATAAGGATGTCTTCAGGGGCGAAGACTTAGAAAAAGGAGGGACGAATGTTAAACGGAACTGGACTGGGTCAATCAACGGCGACTACATAGCTCAATTGCTAGAGCGTCTGTGTAGAGTTTGGAGGGTCCCTGGTGTGGCTGTGCATGTTTCCGCTCCTTCTACGTATTTTTATTTTTCATTCATAATTTGTTGTTGTTGTAAATTTGCAAGCAAATCCAAGTTAGAAATATTCCAAACAAAGTAGGAACTCTTTACTGGAGATAAAAAAAAACAGTGCTTGGACTGAGGCAGAAGGAAATGGGCTGGTTGGCATCCAACTCACCTTTAGCTAGTGTGGACAATTGATATAAATATAGCAAAGATCTGTTAGTCGCCCCTAGACAACTTGTACAATAACAGTATGACAATCTGTTTCAGGCCCCTAGTAGATCTGATAAAGGGCCTGAAAAACGTCACCGTACAGGTAAAGGCTGCCAATGCTATCGAGGCCTTGTCAGAGAACAACCCACGCAGTCAGAAGGCGTTCCTTGATCTCGATGCTCCGAAGGCTCTGCTGAAACTCTTCAAGGTAATGGATAGCTGTGATATGAATTAACCCTTATATTTACATCAAATAATTATAATGTTTCTTGTAATAAGAAGTTTACCAAAAGAACACTATTTAATTGCATAAATATCTTGGATTTTTTGAGATATTATCTGTTCATCTACTGTAAAGCCATTTTACATCATCTAGTCCAGGTAAAATGTTCATGAACAGATTTTTCTTAAGACAGGAAAACAGTCATTGAAGTAAGAAAAAGGATTATCTGTTTGAGAAATTATCATAGGAATAGCAATTAAACTATTAGATCTGACGGAGTCCAGAGGTGCATTTGACTCCTCCGAGTTCAAATTTGTCTTTTTCTACATACATGTTATCATGCATGACTAAATGACTTCTTATGTGAATTTGTAACTCTTCCTTCTTTCAGCTTACGTAATTTGTATAGAATATAACCTTGCCATATATCTGACCTTGACCTTGTTTTCAGAATTACCATGTGGAGGTACGGGAACAAGGGGCATGTACTCTTTGGTCACTGGCAGGAAACACAAAGACACAGCAGAAATACATTGCAGAAAGCACAACCATCTCTAACATATGTGGCATGCTGTACGACTCAACGGAGAAACTCCTACACGTTGGTAAGTGTTGTGGGAATTAACCCTTTCACCACTGTAGACCTTAACTGACTCATCCAGATCAATGCATGGTAGAGTCTACTTAAGTTACATAGGGGTGAAAGGGTTAAAGGTTTGTAATATAGATTTGTCATAGCAATTGATAGATATAACATTATTTTCTCCAAAAGCATCACTGAGGAATTCGAAAAAACCTTGTGAACACATGGTATATAGTGATAAAATTATAGCTTAATTCAAATGTCTGAAACTGAGACAGTCCAGAAAGTTTGATATTATGGATGGTCAGGTAGCAAAGTGGATAACACACTCGCCTTTCACCAAGATGGCTAAGAGTTCAGCTCCCTGATTGGATGTGAAAAGGTGTGAGGTCACCTGCCCTATCACATGGGTTCTCTAGATCTTCATGTACCCCCAGTAATTAAGACCCCCGAATGCTACCCTGATTGGATGTGAAAAGGTGTGAGGTCACCTGCCCCATCACATGGATTCTCTAGACCTTCATATACCCCTAGTAAGACCCCCCCGAATGCTACCCTGATTGGATGGGAAAAGGTGTGAGGTCACCTGACCAATCACATGGATTCTCTAGATCTTCATATACCCCTAGTAAGACCCCCCCGAATGCTACCCTGATTGGATGTGAAAAGATGTGAGGTCACCTGCCCTATCACATGGGATCTCTAGATCTTCATGTGCTCAGGTTTTCTACCACACTAACCCCCCCTCACCTCTGAATGCTACCATCCAGACCAACAAGAGTGATCAATATAAGTTTATACTGTAGAACTTGTTTCGCAAATATTGTAAAATACATAAAGTTAAATATATATTTCTGAAGCTCAATTAATTATGGTAGTATACATATTTAACCAGTTTTCTTTGTAAGGATATAGATGCTGTCCTTCTTTAAATCCTTTGTACTGTGATGATACTTAACTTATGTAGGTGAATAGAAGAGTATCGTATTGAACACCCTTGGCTCGCGAAGTTGGACGGCCATGTACTGTGATGATACTTTACTTATGTAGGTTGTATGATGGCCATTGCCCTGGGACGGGAGAACATTGAGAACCAGAACAAGCTTGCCAAGACTGATGCTTTCCAGCAACTCATCCGTCTGCTCCGTATCTATGGCAAAAATGAGGGAGTGGTGCTCAGGGTCATCAAGGTGCTTGGAATTCTCTGTGTTGGTAAGTCATAAGGAGTATATATATATATTAGGTCTGTTGCCTGATATATATTTTCGGAAAGTTCTTTGATATTGCCCTGCAGGTAGGGCGTAAGAATGTACCTGCTGCCCCCAATTGCATGATCGTAAGAGGCGACTAAATTTGGGACCTTATCTCTTCTCTCCTTTCTAAATAACTTTCTTCTTCCTAATGTCTCCCTTGACAATGCCTCACTTTTGGCCATTTGTTGAGCGTTCGCCCCTGTGAGGAAGGCTTTGGGTTCTGTCCCCTGGCCGAGACATACCAAAGTCTTTAAAAATGGTAGTTTCTACTCCTGCTTAACGCTCAGCAAATTAGGAGTGGGACGACTGGTTCGCCCGTTGTCAGTATAATGTGACCGGGTGGGGCGTCCTGCTGGGTGTCTTCGGCAGTATGTTTCAGTGAGGTAGCACTATAAAGTCGGCATCAGTTCCGCGCTATCACAAGGAGACAAACACGAACATATCGCAGCCTCCCAAAATACACACACATACACTACACGCATGCATCTTGCACACAGGGGAGGCCGTCCTTAAATGACCTTAGCTGTTAATAGGACGTTAAACAAAATCAAACAAACAAACAAACAAACTTTGACATTGATTGATTGATTGCAGGCAATATGCTTTCTTAGCAAATCTTCAGAATTCAGACCTTAAATTTGCATCTTGGTACAACTGTTTTCTGCACCATTTGGTACAAACTTACATTGTACTTGCAAGTGATATATGCTTATTTTTTAACTCACAATTTAGGGGCCAAACAATTGTTTTTGTCATTCCTGGGTCCAGGACTTTTCAGCCCAGAAAGCCTGGATCCTGACATAGTTTCTGTAGGTCTGCCCACAATATAAAGGGCAACAAATAATATTAGTTAAAAGTAAACTTTATGTACTAGATAAAATAGTGTAGGCTGCTATCATCCCTCATGTAGTATTTGTGGTGCTTAAAATTGAGTAGGTCATTCTGACTGAAGTGCATAAATACAACTTTATGGGTATTGGTCACTTCTTGAGTTGTCTAACCTTTACTTTATTTGAAACATAGATAATTGGTGACATGTGACTTACATTCTCGATCCTGTTAAATGACCTTGACCTCTTGTGACCTCTAGGTGTTGCCTACTGCAATAACAAAGTGTCTCAGAAAAGGATTGCCGAGGAAAACGCCATTCCTATCCTGGTCGGTGTCCTCAACAACCCACTGTCAGAGAAAGTACAGGTAGAGGTCGCGACCTCCCTGGGGTGCATCATTTTGAGTAACTCGGAGAACCAGGAGAAGTTACAAGATTGTGAAAACTTTAAGTTTGACATGCTGCTGGACCTGCTCAAGTCAAAAAATGAGGTAAGTTTTACTTTTGAAATTTGTAGTATTTTCTTTACCTTTTATACTTTAATGTTAATTTAAAAATGATTTTAATTTATTGAATTTTGAATATAGAAAAAAAAATACCCATCTCTGATCTTATTGAAGCCCAAATAACTCTTAACTCATTCACCCCTGAAATTTCATAATGAACTATTCCAACCTTTGAATTGGAAGAGTTCAAATGTATCTTCAGGGGTGAATGAGTTAATACACATGTACTCTCTTTGATTATTTATAAGAGACTTGTTAAAGCCTTTTTTTCTACAATTCCTAATACACTTATTAAAGCATTTACCCGTATTCCCCATAGAAACTTTTGAAATTTTCTATCTTGACCAATCGGAGTTAACAAGTACGAAATCCTGTCCATACCAACCAAGCTAGTGGTCCCAGTGAAGACCAATCAAGTTATGTCTAACTGTACAAAACTGTAGAACATTTTAACTCAAAAATATTTAAGTGTTTCCTAGACAATAAGTTCATCCATAATCATCTATCTGTGGTTTTGGTTTACAGGAGATTCGACTAAGGGCCGGAATGGCTCTGACAATATTTGCCTTTAACAACACTCCGAAGCAGTTTGCAATCCGAGAAGCTGGCGGCATCAAGTACTCGGTGTTTGAACCGTTTATCAATTCTACCGACCCCTACTTCGTCTGTTATGCAGCATTCCAGGTAAAAAAAATATCAAAACAGGAATGCTTTGTATACCAATTAAAATATTATGATTATCATTATTATAATAAATATTATGATTATTATTATTATAATATTTTTTTTCTTTAAACAAGCATCAGCTGATTTCTGGTTTAATAATTAAGAAATTATTGATAACTGGTATCATATTTGACAATTTGAACACTGCGAGTGAGGTTCACATAACACATCCAGTGTAAAGTTTATGTGTGATATTCTGATGACTAGTACAGTTACATACTCTTGTCACCTTTATCAGACTGAAGAAAAGTATGAAATTACAGCAAAAAATAAGACAGACATTAAAAGCAACAATATTTAGAATCTGTAGTGAATTTATGGTTTACATGTTTTGGCTAGCTAGACTGGCCATCATCAGAACCAACTGCTGGATATTTATTGTAGATTCCTCACAGTACACTTACAACCCACAACCATGACATTGGACCCTATTTTATATGAAATGAAATGATCAAAAATTAGTATCCATATCAGATTTTTGCATGTCACCTGTCTCTTCACAACTCCCTGTATCAATATTACAAAAAAAAAATGATGAAGGTGACAGAGGATACATCTTACTGGTTATTTTAATGTCACACATAAAACATTTCACTGGTTGTGCTATATGAGCCCACTTACCAACCTTAAACCTTTCACCCCTTTGTAACTTTAATAACCTCTACCATAAATTGATCTGAAGGAGTCCATTATAATCTACAGTGTTGAAAGGATTATAAGCAAATGTTTAGAAACTTATCTGATTTTTACATGATTTCACCTTTCTTCTCACAAGTTCTGTATCACCCTGACTACAGCTAACTGCAGACATGTTCTCCCTCTGTTTAGATCACTGTGCTGGCTCGGGTCATTGTTGACCAGGACCAGGTGAACTTGACCGCCCGAGGTGTCACCATGCTCGTGGAGAAGCTGAACCACGAGGATGATAATGTGATCGTATTGGCTGCGAGCCTTCTCTCTAGTCTTGCCCACACTAGGGCAGGCATCCCGGATGCCATGGTAACCACAGGCGCCATTGAACATCTAGTTGAACAACTTGATTCTAACAATGACCAGGTGCGGAGTGCTGTGGCTGTTGCCATGGGGTACATGACGTTCAATAGAACAGCGGCCCGATTGTTGTTCAGTGCCTGCAGGAACACACCTGGTCTGTACAAAAGTTTGGTGGACAATATAGGCAAAAATGCTAAGATTAGTTCCGAATTTGTGGAGGATTTCCAGCGGGCAAAGATTGTCGGACTTCCATCGCAGTGGTAAGTTCGATGTTTCCTGCGGTAAAGGTCAGGGTCATTCTGGGATCGTGTAATATCTGCTATACTTCAAGTTTGATATTTATTTAGCTGTTAAGCTACATCAGTGGCTGTTATGGTGAGCCTTGCACAAAATAAACTTCAGTTGTCCCACATCCCTAACTTGTCACAATTCCAGCAACTGAGGAAAATGTTTGATAATTATAAAATCAGCCTTTTTACATCTGTCAATGAAATCATGTTTAGTCAGAATATAATGTTGTTACATCTAGTTAACATTTTTGTGTATTACTCGGATCGAAAATCAAAAAAAAAAAAAAGCAGTCATTTCATCAAAACATTTGGGTGAATTCGAATATGAATGATAATAGTACATGTAACATTAATTGATTAATTAGTTAGTGACTCATGTTCAGTAACATGCAAGACTCTTCTTTACAGTTTGGAGATCAATGGTGGTCCTCCAGTGACTCCCCTGCCTAGAATAGGTGAGTTGTCCCCCTTGGATTAGCTCTCCTAACAATTACTAATAACTATGTTTCATAACAATCTACCAGTAATATTTTGACAATCATGTGTTCAGGTTGGACATTATAGAGTTAAAATTTATCTAATAATTTTGAATTTCATTTATTGATTAACACATTCATCCCTGAAATTTCATAATGGACTATTCCAACCTTTGAATTGGGAGGTTTCAAATGTGTCTTCAGGGGTGAATGAGTTAATGTGTATGCCTATCATCAATTAAATAACCTTAGTTAAAAATAACTTTTACATGAATCTTACAGTGGAACTCTTTTGGAAGAAGTTGGATAATGTCTGGTAAAGTAAGATAACTTGCATCCTTAAGTTAGAATCTCACAACTGCAAAAACTATTTTAACCCTTTCAACCCTATGTAACTTTAGTAGACTCTACCATGCATTGATCTGGATGAGTTCATTATGGTCTACAGTGGTGAAAGAATTATACAATTAGTACAGAGCAACCACTTTGTCTGATATTGACTACACATTCTAAAAGGGAATATTTACTAAGAATCTATCAGTCATTATAAATTATGAATGATTATAAAAATTGAACAGTGCTTTTTTTTGTTTTTGGCATCGATTTGTCATTAAATAAATATTAGGACATTATAAGTGGATAAATAAGATTCATAATACAATAAGCAAACGAGATGCAACATTCGTATCCAAATCTTTCAAATGTTTCGATGGTTTTCCGCGGATGAATTCCTAAGGGAATACACAAGTCCAGCACCAAAAGAAATGAAAATTCAAGTAGAAATGACTAGACAATATCTGATGGATAATCAATATTTATGATAGTTGACATGTTTCAGCACACATATTGCTGATTAACCTTAAGCTTCTGTCCGATATTGTCTAGCCGTTTCTACCTAATAAATAAGATTTACATTCGTTTTGATTGGTTGCTCATACATTTAATTGTACTTCATCATTACAACCTTTTAGGGACAGCACACAGTCGAATGTCTAGTCGAGCCAAGTCTGCCCCAAGTTCCGGTCGTAAGAAGTCGGCATTCCTAAATGTTGTAATCGGAAGCGACAGCCGTCCGTCCACGCGCTCACGACCTATATCTGGCGTCTCGTCAGTGAAAACCAACAAATCACGGAAAGAAACCCCTTCACCAGACGGAGGATTCAAAACGAGGCTCTCGTCATGGAACAAAAAGTGACAGATTGAAGGAGATAGGAAACATGACCTTTAACATTTGTCGTTATTTAGATGATAAAAACATTGAGACCTGCGTGGTCCTATAGATATATCACTACATATGCTGAAGGTTACAGTTATTTAGACGATAGAGAGCGGATTCCAAGAAGACTCATATTTATAGGATATAAAAATTAATGTCTGTTTCAAAGAACAATCTGTTCTGAGTCAAGTGTAACAATGTTAGATGATTATAACTTCCTACTTAATCATTGTATCATGAAATTGCAAAATTAATGATTTTATGTTGTATATAACTTCTTAAAATTCCAGTTTCTGTCTAAACATATTAATGTTTACCGTATTTATCCTGCAATAAGCCCAGGTGGTCAATCAAAAATCTCTGACTTAAGATATGGGGATGGGCATGTAAAAAGATCACATTTTTTTTTTTAATTGGATTAGGCTTGGATAGGCTTTTATTATCAGGTATGGGTTTATTGTCAGTTAAATGCGGTATATGATGTCAGCATTTTCTCTCGAAGGAATTTCATAATCAGATATACCAATATTTTTTTATAAGTAATTTTATGAATTTTTATTGAACTTTTATAATCTCCGGATAAAAATGTTTCAAGGTAATTATGTGAATATCATTCTTGTGAAAATTCTTTACATGACCAGACCAGCTGTGATATTAAATGATATGTTGTTCAAATTTATTAAAGTTACAGTCAATAAGGGTACAACTTGTTACCAATATGTATTATATATATAATACCTCCATGAATTATAATATTTGCATTGTCACCTGCTATAACTCTATAACATGCCTTATATATGTTCGGTGACTATCATTGGTATACACATCTTCAAGATAAGTTTTACATGTTGTCAAGGTTACCAATTGGCTATAAACTTTACTTTTAGCTTCTCTCCCAATAATTTGCATTATTGCATCTGTAATAACTATGAGGATAGGCCTGGCCTATAGGATATGTAGCCTATGTGGGATTAGTGCAAGACTGTAGGACATATCATAAGAGAGTACTTTTCTCTCGTTCCAAACACCAGAATATGTTAAGAAACGATGAAAATGCATTTGGACTGGATACCATATTGAAAAGTTGACTTTTCCCCTGAGCTTTTTTTACTGTCAGCATGATTTAGCATACCTCATATTTGCAAACATAGTTTACACAGAAAAAAATAATCTCATCTTTTTAACTTTTATATTCAAAATATTGTAAGATGTTGTATTTTCATCACATCGCCTTTGCCACATATGCATTGCGGCATCAGACTTTTCCAAATTTGCGGCGTCATGTTATTCTTGAGCAATTGTGACGTCACGTCATGTGAAACGGGGTATCATATACAATTTCTTACCCTGGACAGCTCTATCTTACACACTCAGAAATGAGAGAAATAGATATGCTATATGTCACAGTTGCTACAATCTATAGAGCTTAAAGTGACTGACACAGATAGAGGTAATTTCCCTTTTAACTCAATATCAGAGCACAGTATATGCATGTTCAGTTTGTTTTGGTAAACCCACATCAGGTCGGACTCCAAAACAGATTATAAACCTACAATGTACAGACATACATACGTACCTAATATTTCTGTGATAGTTCTAGATCTGATTCATATGTGGAGTTCAGCTTTGACAGAATTTTATTTTTTGGGGGGATATATTTCTTTTGTCAATTTCACTTTTATAGACTGCTGTGATAGCCATAGGTTTACCTATAATATTGTAGTAGTTACGTTTTTTATGTTAAATTTGTAATATGAACTACTTCCTGTTTTTAGTGGTTGCCGTTTGTTGATTAGTTCCTGTGTATGAACCACTTCCTGTTTTAAGTAGGTCCCGTATGTTGATTTATTCCTGTGTATGAACCACTTCCTGTTTTCAGTGGGTGCATGCTGTTTGTTGATTAGTGCCTGTGTATGAACCACTTACTGTTTTCAGTGGGTGCCGTTTGTTCATTAGTTCCTGTGTATGAACCACTTCCTGTTTTCAGTGGTTGCCGTTTGTTGATTAGTTCCTGTGTATGAACCACTTCCTGTTTTAAGTAGGTCCCGTATGTTGATTTATTCCTGTGTATGAACCACTTCCTGTTTTCAGTGGGTGCATGCTGTTTGTTGATTAGTGCCTGTGTAATGAACCACTTCCTGTTTAGAGCAAAGCTGTTTGTGAACCATTTCCTTTTTAAAGTTGGGTGCTGTATGTGAAAAGGCTTTTTGTTAATGCTGTATGTAATGTCAACTACACTAAATCCTTGTTATACTGGCACCATTTGTCCTGAGAAAAATTTGGCATTATAAAGGGGTCTGGCGATAAATCGAGGCAAAAGTATAAAGCAATTCTTAGGAAAATGAGAAAAAGGGATATTGAAATATGTTGACGGTAAACGAGGTGGCAGTAAACGTGGGGTATTATATCGAGGGTTTAGTGTATATTTTTTGTTTATATACTGTAAGTCAGCTTCTTATTTCTGTTCTGTCAATAAGGTATATGGTTTGATTTTGTTTGATTTTGTTAAACACCATGTGTGCCGGAGGCAGGTATGTTGGTGTTTGAAACTAACAGAAAGCTACCTAGTTAAAACACATTGTTGACTCAGATTTGAATTGTGTTATGCTTATTTAACTTTGCTGGTCTTCTCTACTGAACATGTTCAGTTGTTGTATTTTCTCTTTGCTTTGCCTGTACAGTATATTCACTGCCTAAATGATAAATGGATGCATGTTTAACCCTTTCATCCCTATGTAACTTTAGTAGACTACCATGCATTGATCTAGATGCATGAGCCCAATTATGGTCTACAGTGGTGAAAGTGTTAAGAAGTTAGAGGTAGGAAAGAGGTATCACCTGTTCATATAGACAACTGTTCTACAGTCTTCTCCATAACCAGCTACTCAATGTTTTATATTACAAATGATATGCTGTTTTTGGTTAAACATTTAACTTATTCACCCCTGAAATTTCATAATGAACTATTCCAACCATTGAATTGGAAGAGTTCAAATGTGTCTTCAGGGGTCTATCATGGTCTCTGTGCTAATTTTCCTTTATACAATGATATTTGATATACAGTCATATATATTTAAATCACCTATTATTTGTTTTTGTTGTATGATGCCCCTCCATAAAACCTTGTCATTATGGCATAATTGTTTTTAAAATAAGTTGCCTTAAATTTGCCATTTGTCATTACATACTACACTGTATAGTGTATCAGCTATATGTCATACATTTCTTATAAATATAAACTTTATTTATTTAACAACAATTATGAAACAAGTTTTTACAACTTATACCAATCACTCTTGTTGGCCCGGATGTTAGCGCGCGGGGGGTCCAACTGTGGGAGGAAACCAGAGTACCCGGAGAAAACCCACGTGGTCGGGCAGGTGACCCCATACCTTTTCATGTCCGATCGGGGAATTGAACCCCGGTCACCTTGGTGAAAGGCAAATGCGCTATCCACTGTACCACCCGACCACCTGATACATTTCTTGTTAGTGTTATTCTAAAACTATGTAGTCAAGCTCGCATGCTTGAAGTAATTTTAGTGCAAGGTTATCAAAAATGATCCAAGACTGAGTAAATCATGGAACTTTAACTATAATCAAATCTTTGGTATGCTTTGTAATATTTACATGTCAGCATAGATATTTTTAACACTGTTTTCCTTTATGAAACAGTTTGAAGCTTACTTTTATTATTTGCGACTACTTAAGATCAATAGATATTCAGTTGGAGCTTTACAGGATGGTCACAGTGCATAACTTTTAGTAAAATCCAGTTCAGTTTGTTACACAAAGACAGTCACTTTGTGTAGCTTGGAATTTATGATATACAGTAAGATAAGAATTAAGACTGCTTTGGCTTTCACTGGGTTCCTATAGGTTTGGTTTAACTTGATCTAAGTGAATTTGATTTGTATGTTTCATTGAAAATCAAATTTGTTATGAGTATAAGTTATTTTCCTCGTCATTCTAAACACTTTTTGGATTTCTACTGTTTATAGAGCACTGCAGACATTGTGAAGATCTTCTATAAACTTGTCTGTAAGCACAAATTTTGCACTATTTTATCCTAAGTTGAAATTGTCCTATTACCGTCCAACATGTGTCATGATAAATGATTACATGACATGTTTAATTCCTCAAATCTTTGTAAATTAAGACAGTTTTCTGTAAAATTTATTTGTAAAATCATTTGTTCAAATTTACTAAATTTGTATTGGGAAATTACAAATTAAGTTGTAACTTTTATACATTGTCGTCATCATGCTAAATAACCGTATTTGACCTTGCCCACACTTCAGTACAGGTTTCACAAAATGGTTGGGTGAACTCATATTTTCTGTCAGTGAGCTCGCACCAAGTGTGGGTGAACTTGAATAATTGGTGGGTGATTCATAATATGAGTGGATTAAGTCGAGTAACGTGCAGGTGGATTAACATTATGTGGGGGTAAACTCAAATTATTTGATTGAACTTGTGTAATGTGCAGGTAAACTTGCATGACTGAGTGTAAACATGTTTTCTTTGTGGGTGAACTTTTGTTTTCAGTGGGTGAACTCGCATTATGGGTGGGTGAACTCACATTATTTTGGGTAAACTTGTGTTATGCATGGGTGAACTTGTGATTTCTGTGGGTGAACTCACATTATTTCGAGTGAACTAGTGTTATGTGTGGATGAACTTGCATGAATGGTGAGCTAATTTTTTCTATGGGTGAACTCACATTGTGTGGTTGAACTCAAGTTATATTATGTGCGGGTGAACTAATATGTAAGTAAGGCTATAGTAACAGACTGTGTTCTGATTATGAATTTGTGCCGTTAATGATGATTTTTTTCCCCTTTTATACCAATATTCTACACACGCTTTTCTGTGTCAAATGTTTAAAAAATGTAATGTACATGTTTTATTCCTCATGATTTTGAAATGTTTTTGTCATCAAGTAAACTAATATTTCTGACGATCATGTTTAAGATGTAATATAAGGGCTATATATACTTGTGAACATGGAAAGATTGTTCCGCATTTGTGCTTTGCCAATTATTGACCGAGAGCGTAACACTACATCAACGTTGACAAGGAAAGTAGATCATATCTTAAATAGTATTTCTATATTAACAACATTTACTTCAATTTTTTTGATTTTAATGATGGAAGACACATTTTAAACATAGTGCTGGTAGCGGAGCTTCTATCAGAAGCATTACTACTCTATTTTATTGATCAATGATTGAAAACTAAAATACAACTTCACTTGATGTGTTGATATGTTTGGATTGTTTTATTACTTACTTATATAAATTATTCAGTGATTTTATATCTTATATACACATATATGGCCTACATTACAACAATCTGTGATACAACCTAGCTATTTAACTCATTCACCCTTGAAGACACATTTGAACTCTTCCAATTCAAAGGTTGGAATACTTCATTATGAAATTTCAGGGGTGAATGAGTTAATGTTTGGATTAACTATTTATAGGAAGGGATGGATGTGAATATTATGCAATATGATAATATTTTGTTAGTTACAATTAAATCATAATGTACAAATGATTCATTTATTTATTAATAAGTTATCTTTGTATGTGAGAAGAATAAAATGTGTTATATGGTCTAGCGTAGACCCTGTTAAATATATGTAGGATGTGTTATTGGCCTAGCTGTATTATTTACTGTTAGGTGTGTAAAATGTGGCCCATGGCCTAGTCCATGCACTGTTTTAATGAGTTCATGCAATGTTGTGATTATAGTCAAGCTTTTGTTACAAGAAGTCACAGGAATAAAATTTTGTTTCAATAATATGATGTGTTCGACTGTATCTGTGACTTAATGAGATAACTTGAAGCATTGGCTTTACAGATACCCCTGCTCCCAGCTGCTTACCTACAAATCTGGAAATCCATTCATGAAACAGTGGCTGAGGAATGCGGTATAATCCTGTATTACACTGTTTTAGTATTTCAGGTCAACGGTCAAATTGAGGTCACAGTTACCTCATTTCAGAATGTGACATACCATCTTCCCATAACGGTATCTATATACAAAGTTTCATGCAAAATCATGGAACAGTGGCTGAGATATGCCCCGGAAACCATTATTTTAGTAATTGAGGTCAAGGTCCAAGGTCAATATTATTGATGTCACAGTGACCTCATTTTCAGATGTGACCCACTGCCTTTCCATGATGTAATGATATACAAAATTGGATGACAATTCATGAAACAGGCTGAAATATGTTCCAGAAACCATTATTTCAGTACTTGAGATCAAAGTCAAAGTCAAAGTCATACATCAAATTGAGGTCACTGTGACTTCATTTCAGAATGCAACACATCGCCATGATAGCCATGCTCCAGAAACCACAGTCAGCACAGACGATATAGACGCACGGAGGAAGTGAGTACTATATACTCCTGCTTGTTTCCAACTCGGCCCGAGGGTAATATTGTCACAGTGCTGAACCAACTAATGGCATGCAACTGAATCGGCTATAGTGCGAGTCTGACTGGTTGATCACTGGTCGACTTATCTGTTGTCCCTAGCAGAGATCTTGGTTATATTGGTACACACATGGAGATGGTACCATGTGTGAAAATCGTCATCGTATAGCAGAAAACTTGGAAGAGAACAAGTTCTTTGGAAGAGGAGCACAATGTCACAGTTGTAAACCGACTACATGTAGTCGCATGTTACAGATTCAGATGAGAATTTCCATTACAGTATACATATATATATATTTACATGTCTCCCTTCTTCAGCTTAGTAAAACTCTGACTGCGTATAAATTAGCGATATGCAGTGAAAAAAGGCTTGGCGGATTGATACTTGTTTCAAATATGGCGCTGTTCACACTTCAGCAAGATAACAGTCCAATGACAACCAATACTTGGATCATTCACCATTTAGATACAAAGAACATATTCGGGATCCATTATATCTAATGATACAACAAAAAAATGCTGACAAACTTCTTATTCCATGGATGCACAATCAAATTTTTTTGGCGGTAACGTCAACAATGCCGGCTTCTTTCTGACCGCATCACTCCATGAGCAGTGTGTTAATGTGCGTACATGACGACCGTTGTAAATGAGTAGAAAAGTTCGAAGAGCTTCTCATATTGCTTTATTGAAAATTTAAAACCCATAAAAGGAAAAAAAGTAGATTCACTGGAACTTTATGCTATTTCTGGACCTGTGGATTGAACAGCAGGTGTAAAATAGACCTAAGTGATGCCACTTCAGGTTTGACAGAATGAAATAATTGAACTGATGACACTGACACTGAACATAAAAACATCAGGTAGAGCTAGTAGCTTTGCAAAATTTGGCACTGAACCTGTGATATGCACAAGAAAGAAAGCCGGGCTAGCTACCAACCATATTAGTTCAATGAAACCTGTGGTGAAGACGTGTAAAATAAACACGCAAAGACAGGTTTGGGACATAGATAATCATGGTTATTTATTACGCAATAATATGCATTAAATACTAGCTTATGCTGGATAAGTAATATATAATCGCCTAAACAACGGAAGATGACATATGTGTAGGGTCATACAATGACCTTGACATATGCCCCGCACATGAACCCAAAATCTGTTCAAGTAATATATATATAAATACAAGTAAAATTACCATGGTTCTCCTACTAGCTACATGACCTAAGCCACAGAAAATATAACTGAAAACATGGGAGAGAGGGAGGGAGGGAGCCAAGGGAATTGTCACCAATATGTCATTTGACAAAGTCTGTCATTAAAGCAAATAATTAGAATAGAATTGCCACATACGTGTTGCTGGGTCAAAGTACAGAGGAACACTAGCATTTGAATTTGAAAAGCCCAGCCATCCCTGCACCTGATGCTGACCGCTGGTCAGTTGAAGCTGATTGGTCAGATAGCTGAAGGGGCGTCCTATGGGGAGTAAATGAGAGACTCACTGCAGGGTAAAGTGGGCCTATTATGAGACATGGCTTCTCAAGCACTTGGCTCCCTCCTCCTTGAATTAATACACAATTAACAACTTAATTATCAAAGAAATGACTCTGTGAATACCATGGATCTGAAAGGGAAGAAAATGCCACTGAACCTGTGATGCAAACAGCAGGCTAGATGGCTGATTAGATCAGCGAGTATATAATACTAAAACGAACGTACAGTAAGAGGCACACAATAAGTATTAAACTGGTTAAGTTCACATTGAGGAACAGCATCTCAAATGCCATGATCATGAGTATAAACAAAATAAACAAGACTTAGAAGGAAAGAGCGTTGCCACTGAACCTGTGAAGATAACAGCAGGTAAGACGGCATGAATGATCAAATTGGGAGTATACTACATTAAAACAATACTACTTAGGCAAACAATAGTTTACTCTGCTATACTATTAACTTGACATTGAGGGACCTCATCCAAGATGTAATGAGTATAAAACATATACAAGAACTCGTAATATTAGATAGAATTTTTAACGAATTGACTAAGTCAAACACATGGATCATAACTAAATAGCTATAGTATACCACTGGACCTGTGAATGACAAGCAGGTTAGACGGTAAAAAATGATAACATGTAGGATTATAACACTTAAGTAAAAATAAGCAAAGATGGACACATTGTATTGTAATCTGAAACAATTGACTTTGATTACCATGAATATACAAAAAAATAATGACAATAGGGTATGATTACAGCTGACGAATATTTACATAACCACACTGTCTTCTGCATGGAGATGAACGGGGCTGGAGGGAGGGTCGTCAAGATTGAAATGAAAATTACTGCCAGCCTCCCCAATATCTTTGTGTAAACTGATGCTTAACATCACCTAACTAACTGACCATTGGTCATTACTGGTCACGTGATGTCTATAAATAATTAGTATGATGACCTCATCTCTAACCTTATGAAACTAAGCACATGGTAATCAAGTAATGACATCACCTACTTCAAACTCAATTGATCTTATAATTTAAGCACATACCTTCACATAATAAATTCACATCATCTACAAGAATACATAAAAATAAAAAGTATATGTAAGCAACATCAACACACAAAATTTAATACATTTGTAATACAGTAATGAACTAACAATTTACAACAAATTATGCATACTAACTGTGGAGGTCCAGGAGATAGAATACCTTAGAAAAATGTATTTGTATAAACTTAAATTAAATGAATTCAAATTATACAGAACTAGAAGGCGGCAGATACACACATGCTATATATAAATCATTGTGGTTATCAATAAGGGTTTTTGATACCTTTTACCATATGATTGAATCATATATTGTTTCAATTATAGATACATAATTTACAAGCACGTTTTTAATTAGAATAACAATCCCACCACCTTATACCTAGTAATCTAGGGTAAATATAACATGAAAACCTTCAATTGATAAAGAAGAATTGTTGGGTATCCAATATTCAGATAGAAAAATCAAGCTGTATATGTCTTGATATAATTGAAAAAAACTTTTGTTATATCCCCCCGAAAGGTTTGTCTGTTTGTCTGTCCGTCACACTTCGTTTCCGTGCAATAACTGCAACAAATGTTAACCAATTTTCTTCAAACTTGGTAACAGGGTTAAATGCCTTAAGGGCGGAGTTATGGCCCCTTGAATAACAAAAACGTCATTATCTGCATTTTCCGTGCAATAACTGCAACAATTGTTAACTGATTTTCTATAAACTTGGTAGCAGGGTTAAATGCCTTAAGGGCTCGGCCATGTTGGATGATTTTATTTGATGGAGTTATGGCCCCTTGAATAACGAAAAATGTCATTATCTGCCGTTTCTGTTCATTAACTCTCGGAAATATTATCCGATTGTCTTCAAACTTAGTAACTGGATTCATCGTATTAAGGGCTCAGCCAACTTTGACAACCACTTTAATTGGACTCCATTTGGTGGAGTTATGGCCCTTGATTAACGAAAAACGTCATTATCTGCAGTTTCTGCTTAATAACTCTAGCAAATATTAGCCAAATTCCTTCAAACTTGTGGACAATGTTTTTGTTCCTCTGTCTTTCCACCCATCTCGGGCACTCTTTGGGGTTCGTGTGATAATTGCTGTAGATATTGTGCAGATATTCAACCAAATTCCGTATCCATAATTAATGAGGTATAAGGCTTTTTCATTTCGAGTTTCAAACTATACATTATGTCTCAACAGCAAGATACTCACATGTTTAAACTTAATCTCAATAATGTTTACCTACAATATGTCCTGCAAGCGGGGGAAATAAATTACACGAATTCACTAGCTGTACCTAGACCACGACTAGCTGTACCTAGACCACGACCAGCTGAACCTAGACCACGACTAGCGGTACCTAGACCGCGACTAGTTGTACCTAGACCACGACTAGCTGTACATAGACCACGACCAGCGGTACCTTGACCAAGACTAGCAGTACCTAGACCACGACTAGCTGTACCTAGACCACGACTAGCGGTACCTGGACCACGACTAGCGGTACCTGGACCACGACTAGTTGTACCTAAACAACGACTAGTGGCACCTAGACCACGATTAGCGTACCTAGACCACGACTAGCTGTACCTAGTCCACGACCAGTTGTACCTAGACCAAGACTAGCAGTACCTAGACCACGACTAGCGGTACCTAGACCACGACTAGCGGTACCTGGACTATGACTAGCGGTACCTGGACCACGACTAGCAGTACCTGGACCACGACTACTTGTACCTGGACCACGCCTAGCTGTATCTGGACCACGACTAGCGGTACCTGGACCACGACTAGCGGTACCTGCACCACGACTAGTTGTACCTAAACAACGACTAGTGGCACCTAGACCACGATTAGCGTACCTAGACCACGACTAGCTGTACCTAGTCCACGACCAGTTGTACCTAGACCACGACTAGCAGTACCTAGACCACGACTAGCGGTACCTTGACCACGACTAGCGGTACGTGGACTATGACTAGCGGTGCCTGGACCACGACTAGCAGTACCTGGACCACGACTACTTGTACCTGGACCACGCCTAGCTGTATCTGGACCACGACTAGCTGTACCTAGACCACGACTAGCTGTACCTAGACCACGCCTAGCTGTACCTGGACCACGACTAGCTGTACCTAGACCACAACTAGCGGTACCTTGACCACGACTAGCGGTACCTAGACCACGACTAGCGGTACCTGGACTATGACTAGCGGTACCTGGACCACGACTAGCAGTACCTGGACCACGACAACTTGTACCTGGACCACGCCTAGCTGTATCTGGACCACGACTAGCTGTACCTAGACCACGACTAGCGGTACCTGGACCATGACTAGCGGTACCTGGACCACGACTAGCTGTACCTAGACCACGACTAGCTGTACCTAGACCACAACTAGCGGTACCTTGACCACGACTAGCGGTACCTGGACTATGACTAGCGGTACCTGGACCACGACTAGCGGTACCTAAACCACGACTAGCGGTATCTGGACCACGACTAGCGGTATCTAGACCACGATTAGTTGTACATAGACCACGACTAGCAGTACCTGGACCATGACTAGCTGTACCTGGACCACGACTAGCTGTACTTAGACCACGACTAGCTGTACCTGGACCACGACTAGAGGTACCTAGACCATGACTAGCGGTACCTGGACCACGACTAGCTGGACTTAGACCACGACTAGCTGTACCTGGACCACGCCTAGAGGTACCTAGACCATGACTAGCGGTACCTGGACCACGACTAGCTGTACATAGACCACGACTAGCTGTACCTGGACCACGACTAGCTGTACCTGGACCCCGACTAGCGGTACCTGGACCACGACTAGCGGTACCTAAACCACGACTAGCGGTATCTGGACCACGACTAGCGGTATCTAGACCACGACTAGCTGTACCTAGACCACGACTAGCGGTACCTGGACCATGACTAGCGGTACCTGGACCACGACTAGCTGTACTTAGACCACGACTAGCTGTACCTGGACCACGACTAGCGGTACCTGGACCACGACTAGCGGTGCCTAGACCACGACTAGCTGTACCTGGACCACAACTAGCAGTACCTGGACCATGATTAGCGGTACCTAGACCACGACTAGCGGTACCTGGACTATGACTAGCGGTACCTGGACCACGACTAGCGGTACCTTGACCACGACTAGCGGTACCTGGACCACGACTAGTTGTACCTAGACCACGACTAGGTGTACCTTGATCACGACTAGCGGTACCTTGGCTGGCTTTGTTACCATACTTTCTTAGTTTGGGGTTGGCTCCACCAGTGTCCTTGGAGCAGAGTTGTATAGGCCCATTTTGTCTCGAAATTATAATCCTGTGAATGTCTCACAATATGTAGTCTAGACATTATAATAATACTAATTTGCGGTTCTTATATGCCGCTTTATCACAACCTAGTTCGTAGGTCGTTGCAAAGCAGTGCACAAATTATTGTCCGTGGTTATAGGGCCTTTTGACTTATAATCCTGTGAATGTCATACAATCTGTACTCTAGACATTTTATTTATATTCCTGTGAATTTTAACACAATCTGTAGTGTAGACATTTTACTTATATTCCTGTGAATTTAACACAATCTGTAGTCTAGACATTTTACTTATAGTACTGTAAATGTCTCACAATCTGTAGTCTAGACATTTTACTTATAATCCTGTGAATGTCACACAATCAGATGTCTAAACATTTTACTTGTAATCTTGTAAAAATGTCACACAATATGTAGTCTAGACATTTTACTAATAGTACTGTGAATGTCTCACAATCTGTAGTCTGGACATTTTACTTATATTCCTGTGAATGTCACACAATCTGTAGTCTAGATATTTAACTTATATTCCTGTGAATGCCACACACCGTTAGCTGATTGGTAATCGTAATAAGTTTCCTTTGTCCCTGATTTCCATGTTGTTTGGTTACAGGTGGCACACACTGCTGTACTGTAGTAGTTTGACTGTGTTACCCGCATACGCAAACCCAAACAATAACCCAAACACTACCCACAGGACATCCTCCCTGTCTACACCTACAGCCCATGGACGGCATGTGTCAGTGTGTACGATCCTGAGGAACTCACCACCTCCACTGATGAGTACGACCCTGTAGTTGTTATAGTCCCCTATGGTCAGGTTCCCCACACTGTCATACACCACATCACTGGGGTAAAATGGTTTACCTCTTGTTTGTGGTGTTGGTCTATATGTACTGGGGATGTCACCTCTATATACAAACAGCTCCTTGAAATCAGTGTCCATCACAACAACATGTTTGTTTTCATCACCACCATCTCTTACACTACTGAAATCAATGACTGCCACATTGTGAGTGACAGGGCACTCTGAGATCCTGCGCGGTGTACACACTAATGGTTTCCCAGTCCTTTTAGCCATAGAAGTACACACCATTTTACCATCTGAAGTAAATTTGGAGATGTGTCTGGGCATCCCTACAATGGCATGATTACTGGCTGTAATACATATACACCAGGGTTCCTCCTTGGTACTGAATCTGTGTGTCAGTCGTCCTGATACCAGCTCCATGATGTTGTTGTCTCTGTCACAAACCCACAGTGTGTGTGTGGTGGGTGACAGACTGATGGCACTGATACAGACATTGTGTTTGACCTCCTGTATTACTTTACCCTTCCTGTCCAGGAGAGTTCGTGTTTTCTCGTCCGTGATCCACACCTGACCATCAGTGGTTGGACATATAGAACCAATGAGACATGGAGACTCCCACTCCTCCACTACCTTGGTCTGTGGCAGTAGTGTGTATGTTGTCACTGCTTTCTTCACTTTTGTTTCTGACCGTTGTTGTTGTGTAGAGGGTTGTCCCAGATCATCAGACATTGAGACTGACCGATTCTGGTCAGTTAAAGTTTGACCTTGACCTGAGGTGATAACTTTTCCCAAGGCTTTTTTCAAGTGATGTTGAGGTTTTTCATTTGGATTAAAGTTGGCAGTACCCAGGACAGGTTTTACAGGGAGACTGTATGTAGGAGAAAGGATCTCACAAAATGTTTCATAAATCTGTATGTGTGAACCACGCTGGAGAGCTGCTTTACATTCTTGAATTTGTTCTTTGAGTTGCTCTTCGTACATCTCCATGTCCTTTTTGTATTTCTTTATCAGCTTGGTATTATCCTCTTCCATTTTGTGATAAAGAAAGAGTGTCTGTGCTGTAAGCATGTCCAGCTCTTGTTTTAATTTATCTGTTTGCATCTTTAACTTTTGTGACAGCTTCTCAAAAGTACTAGTGTTGTCTTTAAGGAGTGAATCAGTAGAGTTGATGTATTTTCCAATTTGTACAAGGGTTTTTTTTTCTGTCGTGTCTATAAAGTTTTTAATGACTGGTTCCTTTTGAGGAGTGATTTCACTTATTTCACATACGATGTGGCCTTTGTGAACAGAAGAAAGGCATTTTGGACAGACCGGTTCACAACATTTTTCACAGAAAAAGTCCAGTTGTCTCCCCTTATGATAACTACATGTCATTTGACCTTTCATTCGGAGAGGCATGATTTGGCTTATAGGGGTTGCCATTTTGATGAAAAGCTAAATTATTTGTTGATATCGTGAAGATGTTTGTTGTTCTTGTTTACATATATCATTATCAGTTAACACTGTCACATATTGTTTAATGTAAGAGAATAAAAAACTTCGCTGTCCCATCCAGTGGTATATGTTTGTTAAACGTAGGCCTATAGTAATGTAAAACACTGAAGAATAACTACCTCACGATCACTTACTTCAGAATGTTCACTTAAATGGTCCATATCTATCCAGCCCTGTAATTCAAATTCACATGATGAACTTCCCTGTTGCTTTGTTGATAAATCTCTCACTTTCCTGTTGACATTGTAAAAATTTGATCAAACTTCAAGTCCCATGATGATGTTTGCTAAATTTGATAATTTTTTTGAAAGGTAAATAATTTTAACACATTTCTGCTCCGGGACACCCACCAACTGCAACAAGTAGATCTACCTGCTTAGACCTGTATGTGTGCAGAGTAAATGACTTCCCTGTTGAGCGTGGTAACCGACAGACAAACAGTGATAATGAAGCAATAGACGGTGTAGTAGGTCAGTGTAGGTTGTGTTTATAAACCGTCGCATTTACATACCAGTGTATTGTATGAAATATAATTGTATTCAGTAAGGTGATACCTGTATACCTGACAGTGTGCAACTGGTAACAAGACATACTTGTTCTTTGGGTATATATACCTGTACTGTTGGTATTCATACCTGTACTGTAGGTAGATATACCTGTGTTTTGGGTAATAAGACATACCTGTACTGTGGGCATATATATCTGTGTTTAGGGTAATATGGAATGAAGTGTTAGAGGGGCGATAACTCTGTTATCGTTCCTCTGAACGAAATGTTAACACGGCTAAATGTAGCTAATTTGCCGCATATAACAACGATTTGAGTACGAAAAAAACGGCTCCATAACTTTGTAGAACTCGGCGCGATCTACCTCCTTGTATATCTGTTATATCTGAGAAAAATCTAGTTATGGAGATATTTGGGGTCAAACACGCCAAAATCGGCATTTTGACCATTAGGTTCTGTATAATTCACCCTGGAGAATTAACGCATAAAGCTGACGAACTGAAACTCCAAACATAAGTAGTCCAAGTTATTTCAAAGAAAACGATAGTTTTAGTTTTTCGATATCTTTAACAGAACGACCCAAAGAGGGCTTTGAAAATGGGGTGCATTTCTTGGGTTTCGTGGAATTTTCCAGAAGATCCGATTTCCCCGTAATCCCCTCTAGGCTGGAATTGAGATAAGAGCTTGTTGCGCATGCGTTAAATACGAAGAAATGTTCTAGCCGCTTATCCGGTTCAACTTGCAGCGGTGAGTTGGATTGAATTTTGACTAGTGCCAGTAATTTCTACCATTTTACGATATTCTTGGTAATGGCTTTTTTACAACGATCAATGTTTGCTGCTGAGCACAATTATGCATGTAAGATATGACCACGGACTTAGATCTAATTCCGTGATATGACCCATGCAGCGTTTAAAATCTCTAGCAAAATCCCGTAGGCCTACTGTAGCCTTACATGTTTGTTGACGACGCGGAACAGTTCTCGTTTCTTCAATATTTACTTTCGTTATGTTTTGTTCCTAAATAAATTAAGATTTCGGTGTGTGAAGCCTGTTCAGTGTTTGTGGAAATCTCTCATCTGTGATAATTTGTTTACGTCTAAAAATAGCCACGGAAATCCCCAACTTGAGGAGACATCACTACACGCGCGACGAGCATTACCTATATGAGCATTACAAAGATTATAGGGTCTATTACAACGTTGACTGTAAATGCGTCATTATCAGTAATTTTCACATTTTTTGGAAAAGGAAAACTCGAAACAAAGACAAAGTCCTGTGCTATTACTGCATTTCTTTTTCATTTACAGTATAAACACATCAAATGAATTTTAATAAACATTTCAAGTGTTATTTCCTAAAAATTGTTGTTTTGGTAGGTATAACCAAAAAATACCACACATATTTAGAGAAGTTCAATCCTGTTACCAATACCATTAAAAAAAAGTTTTTAACAAGAAAGATAAATAGATTAACTTATATTCTTGTGATAAAATATTGATATTCTAATTAATTTCACATATTATTGTTTTAAAAGCACTGTGGTCGAACTGCACTGTATAGATTCCGGATATAGCGATCACCGAAGCGAGAGCTATATAAATCACGTTGTTGTACACCTCCAGTCGAGGTAATTTGGATTATTTTTTTATCATTACCCATGTTGTATAATTAGTCAAAACGAATGAAGCAGTTATTTTGGCAACTTTTCAACCCGATAAACTGTAATATATATTGATATTCACTTCTTCATCTTACATAATCGATCATTAATCACAAGCGTTGACATCCGAGTCGATCTAATTTCTACAATTCTGGTAATAAATCTGATAGATTTTGATTGAATTCAGAGACGATGATGATAACAGAGTGTATGAGGAGACCTGCAATCAAAGCAAGTTCCTGTTAAGTAAATGTCTGAAGTTTGAACAACCATGGCTCCTAATCGACGACTACTGTATGATTACTTGCTTGTTATGATAAAATTAACTATGATTACTAGTGATTATACTGTCGATTACTTGCGATTTCCTTGTATAACTTTTACATGGTAATAAGTCGCTTCCAATTGTTATTACAGAGGTTTTGCAACCTTACGGGTACATGTGAGCTATAGTACACGTACAACTATATTCTATGATTACATAAAGGACCGTCCACATGTACGTGTAGCATGTAAGCTGTGACTTTTCAACTTTCTATCGTAGTATGAAAAGGCAAAGCCTAAAAAGAGCGTTGCTTTTGTTGATATCTGATATTTACTGATTCAGAATGAGATAAGAACATATAAGCTCAATGAGATTTTAAGACCGACATAACAATTAGGGAGAGACCTGTGCAAATTAGGCCCCTTATATTTAGGTCCGTTCTGGGAAGTAGGGTAGCCATCCGTTTTTGAAGAACTATCTAACTTTTCCTGTCAGAAGATCGGATGGCCGAACGAGCCACCCCATGGGGTAAGTTCGGACGGGCATTCGGGTAAGTTAGGCCCCCCGTGGAATCAGCTTAATTACATTGTCATAAAACATGCAACGTCAGATTTTCCCGCCAATTTTACGACTTAAATTTTTAAGTGTTGCATGGGCCGAACCTGTCCGGCTCAAATTGATATTTCAATAAATTCCTATAGTACAACAATATGATAGTAAGTGTTTGGCTTGGCTATTATGTATATCATTTGAAGCTGTTGGTGGTTTACACGCTTGACCGTCAAAAACGTAGCAATTCCGTTTACAGAAAGTTAGCATAACTAGAAAGATGATGATTTTCTTTCTTATCTAACATCTCAAAAGTAAGTTTCTCCTTTTAAGTAATTTTCATTATAGTTTTCCTCGTTATTTTTATATGATGTACTTTTTTGGCACTCATGTTTATTAGATGTGTAACAGTAGAAAGATAAATGCAACGGCCAGACTGGGAACCCGGAACCCTCCGGACCCTACACCAACACTCTAACCAATTGAGCTACCTGGTCGCCGACAATGGACCCAGTCCAGTTCTGCTACTTACTCCGTCCTTCAACAAAGTCTTCGACCCTGAAGACACACCAAACCCTATACAACCTTCCATGGGTAAAAGGATAAAGAGGAAATGTAACAGCCAGACCGGGACTTGAACCTGGAACCCTTCGAACTCTAGACGGATGCTCAACCAATTGAGCTATATGGTCGCCGATTGATCCAGTCCAGTTTCACTGCATTCCTTCTCCCTCCTCAAAGTCCCCGCCCCCGAAAAACACAACTATTTACAACCCAGTTTCAGTTACTCCTACTGCTTGAAACAAGCGTCGGCAAGATTGCCAATTTTGCGGCAGGAGAACGAGAAAATGTAACGGCTAGACTAGGGTATGAACGGCATATTTACCGAAAGTCGATCTAAACCCCTAAAACATAAAAAATTACTCTGAACACCTTAGTTTAGGTCTAAATATAGCTGTAACATATTCTCAGGTCCCTGTTGTGTTCATAACTTTTTGGATATTTTTCTAAACAGGGAACATAAAAGTGGATAAATTCTTTGTACCCTCACGCTGCAGTTTTCATCATTTGGTATAATCACGGAAAGTCTGTGGTATAATACTACATTTACATAGGAAACTTATTTCTTCTGGAACTAGAAGAAAATTTTTCGTTTGTGTAACTGTTCTTCCTAAGTTCGGGTGGTCTTGCCTGCAATGTTCAATTAATTTTACTAAACTCTATAAAGCTGTTTTGGGAGTAACTGCACTCGAAATAATCCATCTGTGTGAGAAAAAACGTTTAATGCAATAAACCATACAATAATATAAAGCCGCAGACGCTATTAACATACAGTCTGGTCGCTATTATCCATACCGTAGCATGTCAAAAAGGTGCTATTTACAATCATTGTTTATTTTATGTTTAAAAACACAAATGCTTTCGTTAATGTGTGTTTTGAATTTATAAATCATTGAATTAAGAAAAAATACATGAACCATGTGTCGAATGAGAATCTGTGAGATTGTCGACCTCGATCGGGCCGTGATAACCGCACTGATTCTATATATTTTAATGTGCTTTTCAGTTTCATTTCCGGATTATTTCAAGTTCGTAACGCAGGTTGATCTATTAATACACTTATTGTTTTGCACCCACCCTCGTAATGATGATAGTATCGAAAACATGTCCATGATCACAAGCATGCTGTGGTCTTCAAAAAGCTGCCTCGCTTCGGCGATACACTTGTTTATCCCGGTATCGTCTACATATGTAGGTAACGTCTGTTTCATCATTGTATATGTCATACTTTAATAGTTCTTCTGTATTTGTAAATGATTTTGTACCGGTACTTTGTAGTCATGTTTAGCTCACCTGGCCCGAAGGGCCAAGTGAGCTTATGGCATGGGGCAGCGTCCGGTCTCCGTCCGGCGTCAATATTTTACTTTAAACAACTTCTTCTTAAT